TTACTTTAATGTAATTTAAAATTGGGGGAGAAAGGATTGTTAGTAATGGGGATTGGTAGCCCTATTGCTGACAATAAACATTATCAGGCCGACCTCCACGCGGTTCTTCCTGGAAAATATTGTGGTTGATTTATTGTTGAATTTGTCACGATGGGCTAACTGACCTGTTTTATTCTCACCTATCATTCCTCACTGGTGTCTCGCCGGTGTATACCGATAGCGCAGGCGGGGTACCATTCCATTATCATTCATAAAAGAAAAAAAAAACTAACGAATTTACTTTTAAGATTAAAGTTTTCATTCTTTTTGAAATCGGTTTGAGAATGAGTGAGAGAGAAAGTGATTGTTTGTTACCTCTTGCCTCTGAAACAAACTATCGTTTGAAGTAGTTATTGAAATAGGTATTGAAGTATATCTAGCTATTTCAATAGCATCAACCAATACATATAAAAAAAAATCATTATTGATCGCTGTCTGTACATGGAAGATATATCTGTGCCTCTAGTGAGAAAGGTATAACTCAAGTTATAGCCTTTTTCTTTTTTAGGCTACTTTAAATAAGCAAATTTTTCTCTTTCGAATGGTATAAGAATCGTAACGATATCTTTAAAAACAATAGAGATAGTAAACATGTAAAAGGCTACAATTAACAAAATATTTGTGGTAAAAAAGTCATAATTAGAAATAAAACTACAATATTTTACAAAAAATAGTGCCAAAAATGACAAGATACTTAGAACCACCCTTTAAATATGAATTTATTTTTGTGTAAAATGAATCAGTTCGATTTGAACCCTTTTACACCATTTAATAGCGATTATTTTTTATAGCGTAAAATACACAACATTGTTTTTCTTCAATACTTCAATAAAATAGTTTTAATTCAACTTAAAACTATTTTCACATGATAATTTTTAAATTTTTGTTAAGTGTGATTAGGTATAATAGAATTATTTTTAAAACTATAGGTTTTACACAAAAACCGACAATTTCATAAGAAAGAGGAGAAAAAATTACTATAAATGCAATCATTGACTTGTTCAATTAGCAAATAATAAAAGCAGCAGAATTTTTTTTCTTTATTTAAAATAGTTTTTTGGCTCTCCTGAAAAGTGGCCATTTTGAATTGAACTCTTTCTCACTAGAGGCACAGATATAAGAGAAACTATTATAGGGGGACTTTATGAACGCAATAGAATCCAAAGCAATGATTTTCAAAATTTGTGTCCATTTGCCTGTACGTTTGTGCGCGTTAATCCTAGAAACGGCTTAACCGATTTGAATGCGATTTTCACTAATGCGTTGCGCTTTGCTCCACTTAACATTTGGTGTTTGTACTATTTAAATCGTTTCATAATTAAAAAAGTTATATCAATCTAAAGAATCGCATATAAAATGCTATAAAACAAGCGATCAATAGAATTGGCTAAAACTTTATGAAGGTTTTTTTCTTTTTTTTTTATACAACTTACAATAGCAAACAAGCTGACGGCCCACCTGATGGAAAATGGTAACCGTCGGCTATAGACATGAGCAGTACTAGGACATAATAGAGTATACTGTTTCGCTCATAATACCGCCCATGTGTTGCCATTCCTGAGGACTCAGGTCTTATTCCTGTGTACCCTGTAAATTCACGCCATATCCCACCCTTCAAACCAAAACACAACCATGCAAACACAACTGCTTTACGATTGAAACACGAATGAGACAGAGGTACCTAAGCAGACGACTTTTTTTTACAAAGTCTCCCTCTGGTAAGGTAGGATATTTTATATACCGATTCAAGCAGGCAGCGCCGCGGGAAACAGCTAGTAGTATAATAAATATAATATAACAATAAATTAACGCGACAAAAACAAATACATGACATGGGAAGACATCGTGTTAGGCTTGTTACTGCACTCTGGACACATTCCTTTGAACAGTTTTGGATTTCTAATCAGAAAATCGATCACGCCGCTTTGTTCTACTCGCGGAGTTATAGATGATGTTCACCATGTCCTGGCAGAATGTGTCCAGGGCGAACCTCTACGCCAATTGCTGATGACCGATGGCAAATATAAGGATATAGGTAGATACAATTCTATATTATCAGTGCCGTTGTCTAATGAGGCTAGTTTATATGGGGTTCTTCAAAAGGGGCGTAAAGAGGTTTCTACAGGATCGGCAACGTGCGTGTAATACCTCTGGTATTGCAGGTGTTCATAGGCTGCGGTAACCACTTATCATCAGGTGGGCCGTATGCTTGTTTGCCATCTCAGCGGTATAAAAAAAATTAAGAAGAAGAAATGATTGAAGTTAATTTTCGTTAATAAATTTACATTACAATACAATAATATTGTATTATGTTCACCTGTGGGGGTGACATATTCATGGGTGAAACAGTATATTCTGCTATGTCCATGGTACTGCTTATGTCTATAGGCGACGATTACCACTTTCCATCAGGTGGGCCGTCAGCTTGTTTGCCATTCTAAGTTGTATAAAAAAAAACCCTTAAATAAAGAAAAATAAAAAAAAAAACATATCAACGCAACAATAATGTCTCTCACTTTTGCATATGCGAGGTTCGTACACGCTGAGTAATGCGTTTGGCGTGTTCACCGTTCCTCGTTTTGGCAACGCCATTGTTCGCAAAGGGCCCTGTGCTGTATACGGTACAGGATGCGCTAATAGTAATGGCGGTGTTCAAACGTAATTAGCGAGAATATAGCGGTTCCTACTGTTTAGGATTGTGAATGGAGGCTACAAGAGTTACCGAATCGATTAGCATTCGTACTTATAAAATATAGTAGATATAGTCGTACAGAGGAATAACACCCGAGTCCTCAGGAATGGCAACGCAATGGGCGGAACAGTACACTCTGTTATGTCCATGGTACTGCTCATGTCTATAGGCGACGGTTACCACTTTCCATCAGGTGCGCCGTTAGCTTATTTGCCATTCTTAGGTGTATAAAAAAAAATTTGGATATTTTATTTTTGTTTATTAGTAAAATGTACTGATAAAGAGTATATAATACTGTTTTTAACAATATAGTTGGCAACCCTAGTAATATCACTAAAATATATGCCAACAAATATATACATGGTATGAGAATAGACTAAAACATTTTAACACGACGAGTTTGGTTGCGCGTCGTAAAATTATTGACCTAACGTATTTATATAAAATTGTAAATAATGAATTGGTGGTTGATTTATTGGAATACATGTTGTTTGTATTGAGATTGATTTTTTATACAACTTAGAATGGCAAACAAGCTGACGGCCCACCTGATGGAAAGTGGTAACCGTCGCCTATAGACATGAGCTGTACCATGGACGTAACAGTGTATACTGTTTCACTCATGATACCCCCCCCCCCCGTGCGTTGCCATTCCTGAGGACTCAAATGTAATTTTTCTGTACCCAGTAAATTCACGCCATATCCCACCCTTCAAACCGAACAACAGCCATGCATACACAACTGCTTCACGGTAGAAACACGAATGGGTCAGAGGTACCCAAGCAATCGACTTTTGTACAAAGTATCCCTCTGGTATGTACTGAATGAATTTTTTTTTATACCTCCTATGACATTCAAATACGAATTATTGTTTATGAATAAATAAAATAAATAAATAAAAATACATAATAATAAATAAATAGAGAATGTGCGAATTGTACAATGAAATTGATTGTTAAATCGGATATTGATAGTTCTATCAGAAATGTTCATCGTATCGAAGCACTTTTCATACATTGATAACCTAATAGTTTGTGAGTGGGGGGAAGGTATTGTTAGTAACGGGGTCTAATGAACCCATTGCTAGAAATATACCCTATCAGGTCGACCTCCACGCGGTTCTCGTGGTTAATTCTAGTGGAATTCGTCACGATGGGCTAACTGACCTGCTTTCACCAGCGTATACCGATAGCGCAGGTGGGGTTACCATTCCATTATCACCCATTAAAAAAAAAATAGTTTGTGAGCATAATTTGGTAATTTTGTTTTGGAATCCTTATTTTATTTGTTATTTGCATCGTTAACATTCTTTATATAAATATGAAAAGTATATATATGCTGTTTCATCCCTGTTAATGATCTGTACAAGTGTAATTGGACTGCAAACTTTTAATGTTATTGTTGTACTATATTGAAAAAGTTTTCTTTGTACTCTGTTGATGTACCAAATAATATATTGGGTTTCACTGTACATACGCTTATATTGTTTATACGCAGGAATCTTTTTTTTTTATACAACTTAGAATGGCAAACAAGCCGACGGCCCACCTGATGGAAAGTGGTAACCGTCGCCTATAGACATGAGCAGTACCATGGATATAACAGAGTATACTGTTTCGCCCATGATATCCCCCATCCGTTGCCATTCCTGAGGACTCAGGTGTTATTCCTCTGTACCCAGTAAATTCACGCCATATCCCACCCTTCAAACCGAAACACAGCCATGCAAACACAACTGCTTCACGGGTGAAACACGAATGGGTCAGAGGTATCCAAGCAATCGACTTTTGTACAAAGTCTCTCTCTGGTAATCTTCAACTGTTTCTTAAAAACAGCGATCTGAATAATCTTAATACTAGATACAAATACAAACTTGCTGTTCCGAAGTATCGTTTAGAAAAAGTTTATAGGTCTTTTATGAGAACGGGCATTAAATGTTATAATAAGATGCCGAAAGATATTTTGAATCTACCTTTTAATAGATTTAAAACTGTTATTAAAAAGCACTTATTGAAAAAAGCCTATTACACACTAAACGATTACTTGAATGGAACCCGTGCATGGGTTTTTAATGACCATGTAATTTTAGACATGGCACATTTAAATAAATACACATAATGTTAGCAGAGATTTAAAAGAGTAACTGTTGAGTTTTTCCGGGCTTTTCTCAATAGATAACAAGTTTCCGAACTCTGTAGTAGATTTAAAACTCTGCAGTAGATTTAAAAAATAATATAAATGAGGTAGTCAATGACGTAATTGTTTCCAGCGATATACAACTTCCCCGGGAGCGGTACACACCACCTGTCCCTGGACGTGGGAGAGCTGGTGCACATTGAGCGCGAAACAGAGGCCTGGTACTACGGCAGCAGTCTCAGGAAGGAGGCGAAGGGCATATTCCCGAAGAGCTACGTAGTTATACGAGAGAGCAATGTCGAAAGGTATTTAAGTAACAATATTCTTTTTTATGCAACTTAGAATGGCAAACAAGCTGATGGTTGGCCTGATGGAAAGTGGTAATCATCGTCTATACAGCGTCGTATATACAGCGTCATGGATATAACAAAGTATATTGTGTCGCCCATGATACCCCTATGGAATGCCATTCCTGGGGAATAAGGTATTATGCCTCTGTACCCTGTAATTTCACTGGCATCTGCCTTTTAAATCAAAACACAGCTATTCAAACACAACTGCTTTACGGCAGAAAGACGAAAGCCACAGAAGTACCCAAACAATCGACTTTTGTACAAAGTCTCCCTCTGGTAAAATATATATAGTTTCACTTCTTTTTTAAGTAGATAAATTTGTTGTTTATTTTGTTCAAATTTACAGATTTAAATTGTATAGATTGTTTACAATAACATGGTACGCCCCTACTAAATCCAAAGAATTATAAATGTATGTATAAAAATATTTACAAGGTTTTGGATCGAAGAATATAATACTTCTCTGGCTATTTATTTATTTATTTATAAATTACTCACCACACTTATCCCAAAATGTGTAGTGAGCCATGGGTTTATTTTTACAAACTTAAAAATTTTAAACAACATTTTAAAGGCGTTTCCTCGCAAACACAAACAGAGTACCACGTCTGTATATGGTCACATTCATTGAAGTAGAAAGTACAACTGCCCGAATACATTTACCTAATATTCGGCCAAGAAGTCTGCAGGATATTCAGTTTTTTTTATACAACTTAGAATGGCAAACAAGCTGACGGTCCACCTGATGGAAAGTGGTAACCGTTGCCTATAGACATGAGCAGTACCATGGACATAACAGAGTATACTGTTTCGCTCATGATAACCCACCATGCGTTGCTATTCCTGAGGACTCAGATGTTATTCCTCTGTACCCAGTAAATTCACGCCATATCCCACCCTTCAAACCGAAACACAGCCATGCAAACACAAATGTTTCACGGTTGAAACACGAATGGGACAGAGGTAGTATTGGACATATGGCCAAATGTTGCCAGTCTATTCAAAATCATTAGCAGCGTTTTAAGGGACAGTAACCGTTGGGAACCCAAATTGCGAAAATGAATAGTTAACACTAGGATCTGAGCAGTGATTACATAATTTGCTTAAAGATACCTCGTTTAGAGGCGAAACACGTGTCGCAGAACGTGCGCGAACAAAATGGCAGTCAGAGATTGATGGTTAATATGGAAGGTTGTGGAAATTCTGGTAGTAATTATCGTCATCATCACATCAGCCTTTAACTGTCCAATATAATATTTATCAATTAACTAATTAACCAATCAATTCTCACTTTTTTTTTCGAAATCTGATAATCCGTGGTTAGAACTCAGCCAGAACGTAAATTTCCATACATCTAATTTTCATATATTTTGTCGAGTTTTGGGAACATGGTAGAAATGTAGCTGCGGGGGTCCACCGGAACCAGCTAAATTTGAAAGTGGTCTATGAGAAAAAGGTCTGGGAATTTCTGGTCTCTACCTTTTAAAAAAATACCTGCAAAATTTTTTACTATTTGTCAAAACTCATAATTTGGCCCTCGACTACTTCCTATATAGAATGTATTCGTCAAACAAGTTTTATAATTTTTTTGTTATTATAAAATAAATTAAAATATATTTAAATAAAATACAGAACAAGCAATCGAGCTCTCCATCCGTCATTTATCTCAATATGAGATGAAATAAAACTAATTGTTGGGTTCGTTGACCTATGTATGATAATCTGGGTGAATCACTTGCCACTGTGTAATTGTAAAATTATCAGTTTCGTACTGCCGTTAGTATAGTATTCGTACTGCAGTGTTTGTTTGTATGTAAAAAGTTTTTAGGGTTACGTACCTCCATAGGAAAAAATAGAACCCTTATAGAATCACTTCGTTGTCCGTCCGTCCGGCTGTCAAGACCCTTTCTCTTAGAAACGCGTGATGGTATCAAGTTGAACTTAATATCATATACTCAGGTCTGCAATCTCTTAAAGCAGTAAAAAGATCAAGCTTCTAAATCGACCCAATCAAAAGATACGGCCGTTTATGTTACATTTATATCGCATATTTTGACATTTGCAAAGGGAATCAAAACCTATAGGTTACTTTCCGTTGACTTAGTATCATGAAATTTGGCAAGAAGCAAATGTCATGTAGCACAAGTAAAGGGGAAAATCAGAAAACTGTTTTGTTAGTTATTTCACAAAAAAAAAAAAATTAAACTTGATGATTTTCTACGGAACCCTCGTTGCGCGAGTCCGACTCGCACTTGACCGGCTTTTTTAAGCTTTATCAACTAGCTTGCCACACGCATAGATTTGGCAGTCTATAGGGGAGGCTTATGTTCAGCAGTGGACAGATAAAGGCTGATGTGATATCATGCTGTACTGGCACTCCGATAGCGCAGGCGAAGTTACCGTTCCATCTTTATTAAACAAAATCTCTCAATCATCGTTATTGAAGGTCCCAAATCATTGGGGCACGTCATTTAAAACAAATTATACAGCTATTGATAACCTTGCATCAACCTTAACATTTGGCCCCAACTTTTAATTAATTTGTAGATAATGAGGGGTTTCCTATTTGATAAAACTCATATTATAATATAGATATAGAGGGGGGAAAGGGATTGTTAGTAATGGAGACTGAGAATCCCATTGCTAGCAATATACCCAACCAGGTCAACCTCCTTGCGGTTCCCCCTGGAAACTATCATGATTAATTCCTGATGAATTCATCATGATGGGCTAACTGGCCTGTTTTCATTCTCATCTATCACCCTTCACTGGTGCTCCGCCAGCGTATCCCGTTAGCGCAGGCGGGGTTACCGTACCATTTTCACCCATAAAAAAAAATGTAGATATAGATATCGTAGACATAATGGGTGAGACAGTATGTGTGTGTACTGTTATGTCCATGGTACTGCTCATGTCTATAGGCGACGGTTACCACTTTCCATCAGGTGGGCCGTCGGCATGTTTGTCATTCTAAGTTGTATAAAAAAAATCGTATACATAATGCCGTAGTTATCAGGAATGGTGATGCATGAGGGCTACCATGGATATCATAGAGTATTTAGCAATATTCATGGTGCTGTTCATGTATGTAGGTGACGGTTACCATCATCATACCAGCCGATGACTGTCTACTATTGAACACAGGCTTCCTCGTATATTTTTGGCAGTACTTGCTACATTTGGCAAGCGGGTTGGTAACTGCGGTTAGGCTTTGATTATGTTTTAAGAAGGATGCTGCTGCCTATTCCTTGACCACTTAAATTCCTCTTAGTTGTCTCTTGCGATATCCATGGGAAAAATTACAATTATCGTTCCACCATTAATATTGGACGCTTATCCAATAATAATGGTGGAACTAAGGGAATTCAAATGGTCATAGGCAGCAGTTCGTTTGCTTTCTAAGTTTATTAAAAAAAAATCTGCTTGCTTAGATTGGTTGGTTTTTTTTGTTGGATGATGATGAAATGGTAACCCCGCCTGCGCTAACGGTACACTGGCGGGGCACCGGTGAGGAATGATAGGTGAGGATGAAAAGCAGGCCAGTTAGCCTATCGTGACGAATACGCCAGGAATTAAGCACGATGGTTTCCAGAGAGGACTAAGTTGGAGGTAAATTGCTAGCAATGGGGCCGGTTAGGGTATTACTATCAATCCTTTCCCCACCTACATTGGTGTGGTCAGAATAAAAAAATCTTATTACTTCCAGATGCGGCGAGACAGTGGTGGCGTCCGCTGGCGGTGTCGGCGTGGCTCACGACATAGCGGTCACGCTTCGCGAGTGGCTGCCCGACTGGAAGAACCTATTTATTGTTAGTTGACATATCTTCACCACCATATCTGTGACAGCTTTGCTTATATGCACTTTGTAGAAATATAAATGCTGGTACAAGCACTTTATTTTCTAAAATATATTGTACTTTATAGATTAAGATTCCGTTGTTAACTTCTGCAGGTTTAAAGTAAACGTAAGTTTTAGTGTCACTGGGTTTAAATGTCAATTGAGGTGAAATATAATACAATGCTCTCGGGTTGTTTGTTCTCTGTTAGCTTCAATCTGGAGGGTAGTTTATAGGTGATAATGCCATGTTTTTTTTATACAACTTAGAATGGCAAACAAGCTGACGGTCCACCTGATGGAAAGTGGTAACCGTCGTCTATAGACATGAGCAGTACCATGGACATAACAGAGTATACTGTTTCGCCCATGATACGCCCCATGCGTTGCCATTCCCGAGGACTCAGGTGTTATTCCTCCGTACCCAATAAATTCACGCTATATCCCACCCTTCAAACTGAAACACAGCTATGCAAACACAACTGCTTTACGGTTGAAACACGAATAGGACAGAGGTACCCAAGCAATCGACTTTTGTACAAAGTCTCGTTATGGTAATGCCCCGTTTCCGCTATCGGTATACCAGTGACAGATGATAGGTGAGGATGAAGTACATCGTGATGAATTCCAAAAGAGTTAACTAAGATGGTTTCCATGTAGAAGCATGTAGAGATCGGCCTGCTAAAAGGGGCATTGCTAGCGATGGAACTATTACTACTAGATTCATCACTATCAGTCCTTCCCCCCGCAATCCATTTCGGGTAGTAGAGATGTCATTATATTATAGCTCAACGTGTAATTCAATTGTGGTATAAAAAATAATTTAGCTACAATCTAGTTTCTTACCTATTCTTCTCAATTGAAATTGAATTCTGATCTGAGCGGTAGATTAATAAAAAGTGATTATTCGAAAATGCTTTAAATGTACTCGAATACAAATTATTTTTATTTATTTATTACTCGAAGTGTGTATGAAAAGATTGATGGATGGGGAGGAAGCGAAAGAGGTTTGTGTGAATCGAAGCATTGGGCGTTCCATTGTTTCTGCCCATCCTAATGGGAGACAGACGTGACAGATACGTATGTATGTATATATTCCTTGATATTGTACATATTTTTTTATTTTTTTCCCAAATAGAGTAACGATGAACGATTCAAGTTTATGGAAGTGAGCATGCGTGCGCTATTCGAGTTGCGCGCGCAATCCGTCAGCGGAGCACTACCACAGGACCAGCTACGGAGGGTCGCCAGGACGGCGATGTTCACCATAGACAAGGGGAATAGGTGATGAATATTTTTTTTTATTATTTTTTTTTACGTTGTGTAGGGCGATACTCCACTAGATGGAGTGACGACTTCAAATGCATTGTAGAAGGAGTCAGTGTATGCAGATGGATCAGGATCGTTCCTTATGGTAGTTTATGGGGGAGGTATATGTTCACTAGTAGACAGATAAAAGATGATACGTTGATGTGATTTGCTAAATGCAATAATTTGGTCCATATGACCGGATAAAAAGTAGCCTATGGTTTCTTCCATCCATAAATGTATGTGTACACTAAATTTCATTAATAGTTGTTAAGCTGCTGACACGCCAAGCAGATAACAAATAAACGGATGCACTTTTACATAATATTTAAAAATCCCATGTCACGATGTTCATTTGCTGCAGACTCCGAATCCGTTTAACTGATTTTAATGAAATTTTGTGAATGTGTAATGTTTCTTTCAACTTGAGAGATGAGATATTTTTTATCCCGATAAAAAATAGATCCGGTAGATGGCGTTGAGGTGGGGGGTGGGGGGCAAAACAATTACTAGGGTCAGCTACGAGTAGTAGTTAAGACATAAAATTATGGGTGTGTGATGATGATTTAGATATCATGGTGCGTGCGATTTTGTCTACAAAATGGCACTCGGAGATTGATGATTAATATGGAAGGTTGTGGAACTTCAGGAAGTAATTATGGTGGTCAAACTTCTTCTAGTGGAGTGTCGGCAGTCCCACACATGCTGATGGCGGCGAAATACACTAATTCTGAACAAATAACACCTATTTCGGTAAAATATTTATGTAGATATTCTGGTGTACAGGGTACTAGGTAGAGAGTTGGCGATCAGGACAGCCAGCGGTCAGCTGGTGGACCCCATACAGACTTCCACATATAAACTAAATTCACTGCACGATGACGCGAATGCTCGAATCGAGAAAAATATGGTGAGTGTAAATTATAATTATGCGGGCAGAAATTATATAAACTATAAAATTATAGAAATTGTTTGATATATCAATTATTTGTCAATGACAAATTTTACATTACTAGATTATATATTCGACACAGTTTATGCAGAAAGTATGCAAGCAGGTTGTATCTGAATTTGATAGGGTTATACGGCCTTATAACATTTTCTATACACTAGCCTGCTATGAATTAAGGAAAATAGCAACTGATGGTGTATCTTTCGTCCTCTTTTCACTAATTGTATTTGCATAAGAAGAAAGGAGGCGACCATATATAATTTACAGTTTTTATTTTATCATTCCTTCTATGTAATTCCTTGTTCTTAGGTCGAATAAAACAACCACTTCGGTAGGCATTTTATAAATTGTCTCTTAGGGTATTGTCTCTTAGCGACTTGTACATTATTAACAATGCCATCTAGTTTCTGATTTCAAGCTAAAACTTGTATATAATAATATAATTTTACCAGAGAGAGACTTTGTGCAATAGTTATTTGCTTGGGCACCTCTATCCCTTTCGTGTTTCTACTGTGAAGCAGTTGTGTTTGCATGGCTGTGTTTCGGTTTGAAGGGTGGGGTATGGCGTGAATTTACAGGGTACAGAGGAATAACACCTGAGTCCTCAAAAATGGTAACGCATGGGGGGTATCATGGGCGTAACAGTATACTCTGTTATGTCCATGATACTGCTCATGTCTATAGGCGATGGTTGCCACTTTCCATCAGGAGGGCCGTAAGCTTGTTTGCCATTCTAAGTTGCATAAAAATAATTCTCAAACATCATGTATTAAAAACATCACTATTGTTCCAGGAAACGACGCCCGCTACCCCACCGCCGCCAACACTACCGGCGAATGCTCGCACGTACACGATAGTGATACGGGTGAACAACTTCATCTGCAGGATGTTGGACAAAGCGGAGCTACTGCTCTCGCTGCACGACGCGGCCGGCAACAAGATCACTGAGAACCTGCTCATACACTGGCCACAGCCCACCTTCAATCCCATACAAGCTGTGTTTACGGTAAGCTCTCTATTTGGACAAATGTTTGCGTGGATATTTCTAACTCTTGTATTCTTGCTGCTAAGGAGCTGTACTTGCTTGATTAGATGTTTAAAATTGGTAAGCAATAAAATAATAGGGTAGTATTTGTTTTTTTTTAATGGGTGATTATGGAATGGTAACCCTACCGGCGCTATTAGTATACACCGGCGGGGCACCAGTGACAGGTGATGGGTGAGGATGAAGCAGGTCAGTTAGCCCATCGTGACGAATTCAACAAGAATTGTTCACGATGGTTACCAGGGGGAACCACGTGAAGGTCCTAATAGGGCATATTGTTAGCAACGGGGCTATCCAACTCCATTGCTAACAATCCCTTTTCCCCAGTATTTATGTGTTGGCCGTGTGGTCTCGGCATAGAATAGGCCACTTTTTCTTTTCCGTGAATGTAGTAAGAGGTGTCTAAGGGTGGGCGAGGGATAGGTAGCAGCATCCCTCTTAAAACATCTCTAAAACCTAACTGCAGTTGCCAACTCGCCTGGCAAGCAGCAACTACTAGCAAAACCCCCCAAGGGGGAGTCTTTTGTTCAGCAGTGGACAGTTAAGGCTGATATGATGATTGATGATGATGATTAATGTGTTGTTGTGTGTAGATTTGTATGTATTATGTAGTGGTACAATTTTTTTTTTTCATACCAACAAGTTTTGCTTGATTAATATTGTTTTATTTATTTTCAGGATCTGCCGAGTGAGATCAAGAAGGAAAAAGTGTTTTTAGTATGCCACGTTGTGAGGATAGGTTCGATGGATCCTCAAGTTTCAGATTACAGGTAACTAATAAAATTGCATTTTCTAAATGTTTGATACAATATTAATAAATACTCCGGTTGGTGCAGTAATAGTCCTTAATATATTCAACAGTTATAATTTAACTTTAAAATAGATATATTAACATAAGATTTACAGCGTAACAATAAGACAGTCTTGTAGTAGTAAAGTGTAGTGTCACACAGAGGGCGTCTCCACCGAACGATTAATATAAAATTTGCAGGGTAGTATGGTGACCGTTCCGTTGTAATAATTTACACGGCCTACCCACTACGATTATGCCGGTCCGCCATTGTCTATGTATTAGTGTTAACACTAAACTATCATACATTTGTTTTAATGGATGAAAGTGGAATGGTGGGACCGTCCGCGCTATCAGTATACACTGGTGGGGCACCAGTGAGGGATGATAGACTAGAATGAATGCAAATCAGTTGGACCAACGTGACGAATTTATAAAGAGTTAACCAAGATGGTTGCCATAGTGAACAGCTTGGAGGTCGACCTGATAGGGTATATTGCTAGCAATGGGCCTCTTAAACCTTAATACTAACAATCATTCTCCCCTAATATAATCGGTTGGCACACTTCGTACACAATTTGTAAGTTAATTTAATGTAAGTTTTTGCCGTGTGGTCCCGGCCTAGAATGGGCCACCCCTTTCCATTAGGTGTCGTAAGAGGCGATTAAGGGAGCTTAATAATCGAGGGATGGACAGCAATGTACCTCTTAAAATATTGGCGATATTTTAAGCCTAATTTCGGTTGTCAACCAGCCTGCTAAATGTGGCCACTATTGGTAAAATCGGTTACCACTTTCCATCAGGTGGGCCGTCAGCTTGTTTGCCATTCTAAGTTGTATAAAAAAAAAATCTCAATCGTCTGAGATGTTGTTCCAGACTGGTTGGGACAAGACCGTTCACCGACAAAACGATTGGAATGATTTCGGTGGACCCCCCCCCCCTCCCCTCCCACCCTACATTTGAAATTCACCAAAAACACCTTCGAGAGTCCCCGATTCATCACCACGATATCAGGTTTGTTCACAAGAACTATCCTGTCCGTGATGATGGATCGTTGTCAGTAGTTATTTAGTTGTTATTATGTGACGTGTGCGCAGACGCAGCTCCGTGGCGGTGGCGGCGGCGGGCGGCGGCGGCGCGGCGCTGCGGCGGCCGGGCGGCGTGGCGGCGGCCGACGTGACGCGGCTGCTGGCCGCCGACCACCCGCCCAAAGAGATACAGCTGCCCTTTTACGCGTGAGTACGCCCGTGACACACTTGCCATAGAACGACAAACAAGCTCCACCTAATACAAAGCAGTAACCGTCGCTTATATATATATATATATGAACAGCACCATGGACATCAAAAGGTATACTTTTAAATATATCGCTTACCATAATTGTAGTTTTATTAAAAAAAAATTACTACTGTGTAATCAACTTCTCGTGTTGACATAAACAAATATAATTAGGCTTTTAAAATGCCCTAAACGGCTAAACTGGACAGATGTTTTATCATCATCATCATCATATTAGCTTTTAACAGTCCATTACTAAACATCCCCTCCCCCTTGGGAAGGTTTGCCAGTAATTGCCACGCTTGACGGGCAAATTGGCAACTGTAGTCAGGTTTTAGAGATGTTTTAGGGGGGATGCTTCTACCCATCCCTCGCCCTTTCCTAGTCTGTTCTTACGACACCCGCGGCAAAGGAAGGGATGCCTATTCTATGCTGGGACCACACGACCAGGTGTTTATTGTAACAGAAACACAAAAAGGTTACGAAAAACTACAAGAGTAGCGTTTTTTTTTTTTAATAATACCAATATAAGGATAAATCATCATCATCATCATCATATCAGCGGTTAACTGTCTACTGTACAACATAAGCCCCCCCATAAAGGGAATAATTACGTTTGATTAAAATAAAACATGTAATAAAACTTATGCTAAAATCAGTTATTTTCATTTAAAAGTTAAACCACTAAACCGATTTTGATAACATTCGTATGGGACCAATCTATAAGTGTATACTTTTATACAAAAAAAGATTTTTTTCAAATCGGTTTACAACTGACGTAATTATATAAAAAAGAAAAACACGAAGTTATGAGATATCAAATTTAAAATGTATAACTCATATGTATGTATTAGATGTAATGTAACTTGTACCTAGCCAATAATGATTTTGCATGCTTTATACTGTAAGGCGAACATTTGTACTTCACAATAAATCGATATCTGTAAAAACAATGTTCTGGCAAATAAATCAATCTCCGAATTAAGAAATTCTTTCTTTTTAAAGTCAATTGAAAATCATCAAAACCGGTCTCGTTTTATCGAAAATGTCGCATTGTTTTGTATCTAATGTACAAAAACGACGATGACCATTTTTTTTCCACCAGTATTTCCAGACCAGTAATTTGAGCGTCAACTATCAAAAATCTTTATGGATAATTTAATTTAATTTCACAGTTGTGAAAAAGAGAACATGGACTCGTTGTTACGGAAGGTGATGACCAATCGAGACCTCAAAGACACCAAGCACTCGCAAGGGCTGTGGGTGATGTTGCAACTGGTTGAAGGGGACCTCAAACAGGTGATGTAAAATGACCATTTTTTTTATGTTATTTGATTTGATCGTTTCATTCACATACAATCTTATAAATTGTGTTTGGATATTGTACTTCCGAAGGCCAAGAAATCAAACCGAATTAAACTACAATACTAGGATGTATTGTACGAGTATGTGTGTAAATCAAACTACAATAACAATATATATATATATATATATATATATATATATATATATATAATAAACAAGAAAAAACACTGACGCCCATATCTTTAGGATATTGCCTTTTCTGAGGGTTAAGTTTTTATAAATATACCTTTATATTCTATAACAGCCTTTCTCAAAATGGGCGATAACGCCCCCTTGTGAGCGCTGCAGGCCTAAAGGGGGGCGGTACGAGACCTAGAAAAAAATGGAGGCGTTGTGTAGAGGCTTAGGGGGTGATTTGTTGATCTTGAAGTAATAGCGGTTTTTAAGTAGGTGCAAAAATGGAGGCGCTGAAAATAATTTATTCTCAAAGTAGACAGTAGCCAAAATAAGTTTGGGAACCCCTGTTCTATAAGTTAACTGCCACTTTGAAGCGAAATACAGCCGTAAAAGTGCAGTGCTTGACGTAACACGAAAAGGACAGTGATTTTTTTTTTGTATACTACTCTGGTGGCAAACGAGCCTACGGTCGGATGGTAAACAAGTTTTATTAAGGATAAAAATGGACATTGGTAACCCCGCCAGTGGTATATATTGGCGGGGCACCAGTGATGATCGATAAGGATGAAAGCAGGTCAGTTGACCCACTGTGACGAATTCAACAGGAATGAACCATGATGGTTTCTAGGGGGAACCGTGTGGAAGTCGACCTATATTGCTAGCAATGGGGCTGTTAGTCCCTATTACTAACAGTCCCTTTTCCCCCTTTTAAACGGGTTCACTGTAGTCTATGGATACCTGTAACATCAGGATTGTCACGCTCTCGTTGCCGACCCTTAAGAAACCTTAATACGCCCTTTTGAAGAGCCCCATGTTGTAATTTTTAGGGAAAGCCGTGACAACCTGAATGTTCGAAAGCTTCTCTGAAATTGCGTGGAACTCATGCATTTGACTTTTGCACTCATTCCAGAACTTAAGGGTTTGAGTGATTGTCAGTTATTTCGATCAACCCCAGTCGGAGTAGTATCAGAATAGATTCCGTTTTGTTTCTGTTCTGCTTACTATGTATAGGACCTGTTCATCTAAACAAGTGGCAAATATATCAAAAGAGTTTCATATACCGCCCGCATAAGACCCCGTTTGCCATTTATGTGAGGGGCTGAAGTGAAAATAGATTACTAATTGTTCGTTTAACTTTCAGATCCGAGAAGAAAACCCACATTTAGTTGTTGGTAATACTGCCATCGCCCGCAAGATGGGTTTCCCCGAAGTGATAATGCCTGGAGACGCACGTAACGACCTCTATGTGACCCTCGTCTGCGGATCGTTCTCCAAGGGGAGCAAATCATCAGAGAAAAATATAGAAGTAACCGTCAGGGTTGTCGACAAAGACGGAAAGCCATTCTCGGTTAGATTAAAAGATTTTTTTAATCCATTGACCTATTTGTGTTCTTATCTATCTTTGAATATGTTATTTTTGTGGACAGGGTGTAATATCGATAGGCGAGGGCTGCCCACGGGTAGACGAATACACTTCTTTGGTATACTACCACGATGATCGGCCGCGCTGGCAGGAAGTTTTCAAGGTAAATATAATTGTTTCATCTTTTCTATATATTTTTTGGAGTCGAAGAAATTAGTTTTTTGGGGGAAAACAAATTGACGTCAGAGAAATTTGGTGTTTCTGATAAAGTAAAAATTTCTCACCATGTACTTGCTCTTCATGGTGAAGATCATATACTGTTTGATGGAGAGGTCTTTGCAAAATTGGCATTCTTCATGTATGCATTTATATAAAATCTAGTTCGAAGTTATTATAAAGGTCGTCATATTATCTTTTTACCTAGGTGTGTCTTAACATCGAGGAGTTCAAAGAGGCACATTTAGTGTTTCTGTACCGACATCGCAGCTCCAACGAGGCGAAGGACCGCGCGGAGCGGCACTTCGCGATCTCGTACCTCCGGCTCATGCAGCGCGAGGGGACAACTACGCCTGATGATACGCATACACTCTGCGTCTATAAGGTAAGTTGATATGGTGACTTGATGAGTGTACCGCTCTATTTTATCACTTGCCAAAGTATTTGAGAGCATGTTCTATTAGAGGATTATAGAGATATACTAATTATGTAACTAAACACATCGATTTTAAGTCATATTTCTTAGTTATTTGCAATTTTCTTGTATTTGGATTTCCGAAAGGCTTTTGATAAGGTCGATATGGAAATCTTAGTGATACAACTTATCATTATTTATCGTTTTATCGGTGTTCTGCGTTTACTATGTATGTACGTCAATCATTATACGCAATATAAAGCAATGTATTACCTTAGATAATACTAGTGACACTTCTATCGCTCGAGTTCTGAGGTGTACTTCAAGGATCTATTTTAGGGACCTTGCTTTTTATTTCATTGGTTTTATTTTAACGATGAAGAAGTGTAATTTAATTTTAAATGTAAAAGAGGAGGGGATAGAGAAGTCGATCATAAGCTTTTTCAGTGATATAAATTAAAAAAATGTAAAGATTTGTAATTTAAATATTTGTTATCCAATCACGCCGGAATGACTGAATGGACCTAGTCGATGTGAGGTAGTATTTCTTCTCTTATTTATTAAATAAAATTACGGGTTAAAAGATGCGGCACAAGGGCTTAATGCTAACGGCATTCTCTTATTTATGGGAGGAATGCCGCGAAACATAGTAAAATGTATGCGCCCGGCAGATTGACAACAAGCGCGGTGGGGGTGACGTGGAGGCGGAGGCGGCGGCCACGTGCCTGGCGCTGCCCGCGCGCCGCGCCGAGCTCCCCGCCGGCGCCGAACGCGGCCTCACGCGCGGCCTGCTCGCGCTCGCGCCGCGCGACGCGCTCTCCGCCGCCACCAAGCTCTGCTCCACCAAGCTCACGCAGCGCCGCACACTGCACACTGTACACACGCGCGGCCTCACGCGCGGCCTGCTCGCGCTCGCGCCGCGCGACGCGCTCTCCGCCGCCACCAAGCTCTGCGCTCGCGCGACGCGCCCCGCCCCGCCCCGCCCCGCCCGCTGCACGCCGCACACTGCACACTGCACACTGCCGCACACGCGCGGCCTCACGCGCGGCCTCTGCTCGCGCCGCGCGACGCGCTCTCCGCCGCCACCAAGCTCACGCAGCGAGGTACCGCGCCCCGCCCCGCCCCGCCCCGCCCGCTGCACGCCGCACACTGCACACTGCACACTGCACACTGTACACACGCGCGGCCTCACGCGCGGCCTGCTCGCGCTCGCGCCGCGCGACGCGCTCTCCGCCGCCACCAAGCACTCACGCAGCGCACGCCGCACACTGCACACTGCACACTGTACACACGCGCGGCCTCACGCGCGGCCTGCTCGCGCTCGCGCCGCGCGACGCGCTCTCCGCCGCCACCAAGCTCTGCTCCACCAAGCTCACGCAGCGAGGTACCGCGCCCCGCCCCGCCCCGCCCCGCCCGCTGCACGCCGCACACTGCACACTGCACACTGCACACTGCACACTGCACACTGTACACACGCGCGGCCTCACGCGCGGCCTGCTCGCGCTCGCGCCGCGCGACGCACCAAGCTCTGCTCCACCAAGCTCACGCAGCGAGGTACCGCGCCCCGCCCCGCCCCGCCCCGCTCGCTGCACGCCGCACACTGCACACGGCACACTGTACACACGCGCGGCCTCACGCGCGCCACCGCGCTCTGCCGCGCGACCAAGCTCACGCTCCAGCGCAGCGAGGTACCGCGCCCCGCCCCGCCCCGCCCCGCTCGCTGCACGCCGCACACTGCACACTGCACACTGTACACACGCGCGGCCTCACGCGCGGCCTGCCCGCTGCGCCGCGCGACGCCGCACAAGCTCTGCTCCACAAGCTCACGCAGCGAGGTACCGCGCCCCGCCCCGCCCCGCCCCGCCCGCTGCACGCCGCACACTGCACACTGCACACTGTACACACGCGCGGCCTCACGCGCGGCCTGCTCGCGCTCGCGCCTCATAAAACCCTGACGTATTTAAGATCGCATTAAAAATGTATTGATTATTCATTCTACACGGTGCGCAGAGGAGATCCTGGGCGTGTTGAAGTGGAGCACGCACCACGAGGAGGGCTCGCTGCGCGGCGCGCTCACCAACCTGCTGCTGGTGCCCAGCGAGGAGATCGTCAAGTTCCTGCAGGACATACTCGACGCGCTCTTCGCCATACTGACCTCGGTGCGTTTGTCTCGTTTCCTAACCATCGTATCAGCAGGCATAGGTAATGTCAATTCTGCTCTGGGATTTGTATAACAGTTTGTATATTGATGGCAGAAAAATAGGTTTGTGAAAACCTATTAGTGGCTTGATTTGTGATTCTAAACTGTATGTATTTAATCTGGTATAGTCCTGGTTTTCCTATAAATAAATAATTTTATGTAAATAAGTAGTATAATATATAATAAATTATACTAGTTTTGACCCTGTAAGTTCTGGCCTAGAATAGGCCACGCCTTCCTTACCCGTGGGCGTTGCAAGAGGCGACTAAGGGACGGCGAGGGATTGGCAGCAGCGTCCTTCTTAAACATCCGCCTGCCAAGCGTGGCAAACACTGGCAAGATCATCAAGGGGGAGGCTTATGTTCAGCAGTGGCCGGTTAAAGACCGATATGATGATGATCATTACTAGTTTTAAATTCGTCCACAGACTTACATCTCATCCACAGAATATTTCCAATCTTATTGAAAAGAAAAAAATTACATCCATGATCCGATTCCAAACCCAGGTGGAAGAGGACCGTAAAAGCTATTCAGAGAACAGCTACGGCGTCCTAGTGCTGGACTGCTTGCTGCGCGTGATATCGCTAGTCGCCGACCACAAGTACCAGCACTTCCAGCCTGTACTGCACGTGTACATAGAGCAGAGCTTCTGTGACGCGGCTGTTTACGAGTGAGTTTTTAAGCTGTCTATTATTCTATTATTTAAAGAGGATTGTTCGAATCGAAGCATTTTGCGTTCCATTGTTTCTGCCTACTCTAATGGGAGATAGGCGTGACAGATATGTAGGTATGTATGTATGTATTATTCCTTTTGCTTTATAAATTATATGAGTAATACTGTTTCTTTTCAGAGCCTCTATTTTTTATATTGAGCGTGTATAATCTGAGGTTATTATAATTTTTCGTATATTTTTTTAGCCATATTTGACATTTTTTTTTTATTTCTACGTTATAGCAAAGACATACCACAGATACTGCCTTAACAGAACGGTTTCTCTCTTTGTATATATTGAATGTGGGCTTAATTAAATTGATATAAGTACCACGCAAAAGAGGATTTTGTTTTGTATTATTTTTTTTCCATATTTGCCACTTATTCTATCTGTCGTTTATCAGTTTTTTTGTGGAAACTTTACCTGTATTAATAATTTACAAGTTGTTGGAAATATATGTTTTCGTATTACGAATGTTACTTAAAAAAAACATTCAAGTTATGCAATGAGCTCCCTGCCGAGGTTTTCCCAAGAGACTGCAGCAAGGGGTTCATCAAAACGGGTGAAAAGGTTTCTTCAGGATCGGCTATGTGCGCGTAGTACCTCTGGTATTGCTGGTGTTCATGGGCTACGGTAACCGCTTACCATCAGGTGGGCCGTATGCTTGTTTGCCACCACAGTGGTATAAAAATGAAGAGTGTGTGTGGCAGGAACCTGATCTCGGTGATGACGTGGGCGGTGCGCACGGCGGAGGGCGGCGAGGCGGCGCTGAAGCGGCTGCTGACGTGCATGAAGTGCGTGGAGAGCCTGGTGCGCGTGGTGGCCCGCAGCCGCCAGCTGCGCCGCGCGCTCGCCTACCACGCGCCGCACGCCTTCCACGCGCACTTCCAGGTAGGGGGGGGGGGGGAGGCAGTCCCTCGTGATTACTACATCTGGAATTCAGCACGATGGTTTCCAGGGGGAACCACGTGGAAGTCGGCCTGACATCATTACCAGTCCTATTGCTAGCAACTTTATATTTATGAAATACAAACGGGCGAGAAGGTATCGCTCCAGATAAAAATATAAACATAATATTTATAAGTGGCGAGAGGTACTCGGGATAGAGCAAATCGGAACACATTTGACGCGCGAGAGGGTCTCGTTCGAGATGCTTAAGTGGTTAACGAGACGAGCTTCCTGGTACGCTTCCTGATACACAAAGTTGACAAATAAGTGTATAGTTTGTTAACTTTGTGTACCAAGAAGCGCCTGCGCTTCTGAGCGGAGCTGGTCTGGCTGTACAAGCCATGATTCACACGCACAACAATCCAAATGAGAAGCTAAGCGCGGAAAATAGAGTCCAATTTACATTACATTACATTGTTAACTTTGTTGGATAAAAAATATACTATTTGTGTTTAGTGAAAATGTGAGAGCTAGGGGGGGGGAAAGGGATTGCTAGTAATGAGGTCTAATAACTCAATTACTAGCAATAAACCCTCTCAAGTTGACCACCACGCGGTTCTCCCTGGAAATAATCATGGTTAATTTTTGTCGAATTCATCATGGTGGGCCAACTGACCTGCATTCATCCTCACCTATCATCTTCTATAAGAGAGGCAACAGACACCTTTCAAGGACACGACCTTTAGTAATGAAGAGGACGAAGAGAGAGATCATCTTTCACTGGTGCCCCGTCGGTGTATGCCGATAGCGCGACGGGTTTACCATTTCATTTATATCGATTAAAAAAAAATGTGATAGCTATAACTGTTATAACTGTTGATAGGATCTGCTGGAGGCGCTGGTGTGGCTGATGCGGTGCGGCGACCACGCGCTCACCTGCCAGGGCTCGGCGCTCAAGTATTTACCGCATGCTGTACCTCACGCGCTCGCGGTTTATCCTGCTGTCGACCTTAGGTACATATGACATCACGTAACGTGATCTCCCAGTCGGAAGATCAAACAGACTTAGGCTAGCGCCGCATTTAGTGTGTGTGATCAGTCGCGTGTATTCGGCGCCGGATGATCGGCAACCGAATGTTGAAGACACGTTCAGCGTACTTTCGATCGCTTGAATATCTACCGACGCGAATAGTCACCGCAGCTAAGTGTGACGTGTTACATAAAATAATGTGCAATTCGTTGTTGCCGATCTTCCGCCGGCAGAAGATCGGCGACTATATGGTCGTTTAGACTTAAGGCGTAAGCGTTCCGCGACGCTACGTCGATGTAATGGCTGATCTTCCGCGCAGTGTTACAGAGAGTAGTAAACTAACAAGTAATCTATTGGATATGGTATTCATGAGCTGGAACGAGGCTCTAACATCCGGAATATTGTTGTTTTTCATATATGTGTTAACGGAAACATATCTATCGATAGTTTGCTGCTTACTTGATCTAAGGTTTAAGATATATGTGTTTTTTAACTACCTTTAAAAAAAGGAAGTGCTTTTCAATTCAGCTCTACTCCGGTAGATTATTGTAGTGTTATTTTTTTTTTGTGGAGTAAAATCTATTATTTATTTATCTTTTATTTTAGTGCATTCTTCGTTAAAGCACTAAGCGCTCTGTCAATGAACAAGCTGAGCAAGCAACGGATGCTGGCGCTCTTAGAATTAGTCCGCGGACCGTTATGCCTCTCGGCTCCCGCCAGAGGGCGCCTCCTGCCGCATTTGGCCGAAACCGTTCGTGTACTGTTGAGAGACAAAGCCGAGGTGAGTTTATATGTTATTGTACACATACACTGTAGTACATACACGCATACACAAAATAATACAAATTTCGAAATTTTAATACATCTGTAATTACATATGTACATATAATTGGTTAAAGGAATGTTCATATTTACTGATAGTACAAAATTGTTTTTGTTTTTGTAATATTATAATTACGAGGGTAATAAATAATTACTCTGGTAATATTTTTTTAAAATATTTAGAAATTAAATCTTATAAAAGTACAAAACTGATACATCATTTAATACTTTAAAAAAATTTAGGTAAATTCAATTCAATACATAATCCTATTGTTTTTAAGAAGTACATGCATAATTAAAAATTGTCTTTTCTTATTTTTAATTTTATTATTTAAAATTTAGTAATAAATCCAAAAAATTCTATGGAAAGTAAATTAGTTTACATATTTTTAGTACTAAGTTCCATTCCATACAATTAACCCCAAATAAATACATACAGTTTTAAAATTCATTGGAACATACTCCATACTTAATACTCACATTCATAACGACTAAAAAGGGACATAATTTCAATTAATTTCTAGACATCAAATCTGATGTTTTACTACTCGGTGTAATAGAAAAAAATAGAGATAGCAATAGTGGGATCAGTACAGTATTCGGTGTTATTGTAAATACTAATATTTCTTATTTTTTTTATGATTATTTTTTATATTTTAGTATATTATTAGGGGCTTACTACATACTATTATATATAATAAACAGGAGAAATTAAAAAACTTTAGCATACTTTTAACTGTATTCAAAATAAGAACGTTCTTAATTCGGTTGTGTTATTTTTATGTTCGTTACCTCATAACTCCGTCAGTTGTAAAAAGATTCTGAAAATTTATTATATATATATATATATATATATATATATATATATATATATATATATATATATATATATATATATATATATAAATGCAGATTGCCTAATGGACTCGTAGAATGTAGGCTCCATAGATCAGAAAAATTGAAAATAAAATAAAGCACGTCAATCACAAACATTCACAAACTAACTCATGGTCACCATTAGAATATATTAATAATCATCTTATATATTAATTAAATTATTTATAATGTCAATATAAAAAAAAAATGTCTAACAAGCGGCCACAGATGTATGCGTGACACGAGACGCTTGATCGTTTACGTAGTCCATAACCTCTCAACTGTGTCATGCAAAATGGTGGAGAATCCACATCTGTGGCGTCCCGTGAGCGGACTTTACACACACTAGGTATTTTTAGCGTATAGGTTTAAAAAACCTGATTTTCCCGTAATCTAATTGGAATTATACAAAATTTAGATTAGATTTGTATTCCAGCTAGATTCTTTATGTAATTTTTTACACTACACTCGAATTGCAACTGTTCTATGAGAAATAAAATCACCTATAAATTATCTTTTATTTTTCAATTATTAAAAAACTAAGACTTTGCTGGATGTAAAATTATATATTTTTTTATACAATATTATATACTTGATAAAATAAAAATAAAATGGCTTATGTTCCAATATTTTTTTTTTTTATATAGCACTTGTTTATAAACAAGGACCAAGAAAGTCCCTCTTCAATTGGGTCTCCTATTTCATTATTTTACGTACATTGGCGTTAGGGACAAGAGGTGGTTTGTTTACAATAATTTAAGCTTATCGCCAAGCTAGTTTAGACAAAACAGCGGGTCTACCATGAAATGAAATTCCGAAATTTCGGACTTAATTTATTATTTCCAAACGGCATTTATTATGTAAATTTAACATCAAATTTGTGTTTCGTTTGGCTCCGACGTTTCGGAAAACATTTCATGGTAGGCCCTCAGTATATATGACATTATTATCTATATGTCCGCTGAGCGGACGCGACACAGATGCGCACAGTTGAGAGGATAAGCAAATATATACCATATTAAAAAATGGAGATGAATACAAGAAACTGGTCCATTTTTTTACCTATTCTCCATAACATCGAATGCTGTATTGAACCAAAGACTGTATTTTAGTGTTGATTTTATAAACTAGTATGTAGAAATATGAGTATTAATTTATTAAAGGACTACTTTAACGTTTGTCTGTGTAATGTCAAGTGTTTGTACAAGTGCAACCGTTTGTCTCTCTCTCTAAAAACGTCTAAATTACTATAGCTATATACATACAGACAAATCGTACTTTTATAAATATATCCATGGAACTTTTTATCAATTTTTCTTGTGTACCTTTAATGAATTAATACTTGATTTGTTATTATTTGTCTGTGACTACCGTTGAGTGCGTACGATTATGTATATGTAGTAACACTGTCCGTCCGTACACTGGGTATGTACTCGCACCTGATTATGGTATGTATGTCCAATAACTAGTATGTCACGTTGCGGCACGGTTACTGATGATTATAAGGTAAATAAATAAATAAAATAAATGAAATAAATAAATAAACAAAATAAATAAATAAAATAAATAAATAAAATAAATGAAATAAATAAATAAACAAAATAAATAAATAAAATAAATAAATAAATGAAATAAATAAATAAAATAAACAAAATAAATAAATATACAATATATGTCGTGTAGGTCCCGGCATCTACATTCTCATGTCCTACAGCCTCAATGGTCGCATACAGCGCGTTTTCAAAGATGTTTCCACCCACGAACACTCAGGTTATGGAACGAGCTCCCTGCCGAGGTTTCCCAAGAGACTACAGCATGGGGTTCTTCAAATCTTTTCATCCTTTATAAAACCTGGCCCCTGGCCTGACAAATGGCAAACGAATTCGTCATCACCTATCATCCTTCACTGGTGTCCCGCTGGTGTATACCGATAGCGCGGGCGGGGTTACCATTCCATTATCATCCACTAAAAAAAAAACTTGAATTTCCTGCGTTGTTTTCATTATATTTATGTAGGTCGTTAATTTATGTAGATTATTACCTATTTATCCATAACCTCTAATAATTTGGTAACTTCAAAAATCGCTGACGCAGTGGGTGTAGCGAGCTAGTCTAGAGACGATAGCTCCACGGGTTCATTGTCTCTTACAACAACAACACGGTAAAGAAATTCCTACTCTATGCCGGGACCACACGGCTTAATTTTTTTTTTTTTGTATCCAAATAGATACTCTATTGTTTCCTCCAAAAGATTACAATAGTAAACTTATTACAAATATAAACAATTACAAGAAATAATCACAATGAGAAAACAACGGGCGACCTTATCGTTAAAAGTAATTATGTAATAATACATCATCAGTAACCGTACTGTGATTAGCAGCAGGCGTTGTGTCCGTCCGTACGTCAGCGACGAGGTAAGCACGCACGCCGATGCATGCGGCCCGATAGCACTCAATGTTGCATGTTACGTGTATTATTATGGGAAGAGGGGTCAATGACATTTCAGTGAATTCTGTTCACTTAAACTAAATAAAAATTACACCAGCCCAATAGAAGGGAGATTAAAAAGTTTACCTTACACAAATCATAATAGGATTTACTTTTTTTTATGCTACTTAGAATGGCAAACAAGCTGACGGCTCATCTGATGGAAAGTGGCCTATAGATATGAGCAGTACCATGAACATAACAGAATATACTGTTTCGCTCATGATAAATTCGTTGCCATTCCTGACGATACAGGTTTTATCCCCCTGTACCCTGTAAATTCACTGCTATTACTTTGTATAACCCGTCGATTTAAATGTACTAATCTCATAATATTACGCCCTCAGCACTAGAGGTTTGTTTAACTTGGTGGGTTTATGTAAAGCAACAGCAATAAATACAAAATGGGGTTCTTCAAAAAAGGGGTAAAGAGGTCTTTTAAGAGTCGACAAAGCGCGTGTATTATCCCTGGTATTGCAGAGGTAACCGTTTATCATCAGGTGGACCGTATGCTTGTATGCCACTTCAGTGGTATAAAAAAAGAAAATCCTAATATAATTAATAGTAAACTTTTGGCCCCCGAGGAAAACTAGAAGTAAAGCTGGGATGGCTATCTTCTTATTTGGACTCTCGTCTACTCGTTTACCAACAGATAGGGTGTAGTCACGTCGATCAGTTAGTATATTAAAAAAAAAAAAAAAAAACTATAAAGTCGTGCATTTGAAATTTCCAAATTTATATTCGTGAATACTGATCATGTGGGGTGTTAACAAGACTTATATTTGGGCACAGTCTTATGTGGCATATGTTTTAATTTAAAAAAGAAAATATTTTATTTCATAAGCGAAATTGACTTACGGGAAATAACTGTAGACATTTTGAATGCTGAATGATGTTGAGTATCTAACACGCATGCAATATAGAAGTATGTCAACCCAGACTAAGAAAATAAAATCCTTTTTTTTATATGGCAACAAAATACCGTTAAATCTTAATGTGGCCAGTTAAAAAACATCCGCAACATGGCGACTTTTTTTATTTTCTTAGTCAATCAATAAATTATTTATTCACATACCACAACACTTAGTTTTTACTCAGCTTAATGGCGTCCATATATAATGCTATAAAAATAATTACGCTTAAATAAATAAAAATAGCGCTTTTATCTGTATGCAATATTTTATTATAACTGTATACAGACTACAGTAAATAGAGGTTATTTTCGCATGTGCTTTACAATGATCAGAAAAAGTTCTATGCTGAGTAAACGCTTGGTTGAATAAGAAAAAAAGATGGCGCCCGCGTCGCACCCGCATCGTGAGAAATGCACACAACTCGTTCTAACTCAATTCATACAAATATGGTATCATAAATAATATGTCATAATTTATTCTTTATTTACTTTTAATTTACCATTCTAATTTTGATTAATAATATATATTGTATAACTAACATCACCATTTGTGTGTGTGTGTGCGTGTGTGTGTGAGCATGTAGTTTCACAGTGTTTTTTTTTTTAATTCTTATGCAGTCGTGGAATAGTTGTAGTTCCAGCAGGGCGTTTAGGGAGTGAACAGAGACAAAGTACTTTTAGAAAATGAATATTTCTAAGTAACTGATTAAATGACAGCAAATAAATAGGTTTGATTTTAGAATAGATTTAAATTTAGAACATTATTGTTGACTTTTTTGTGTCATAAGAATGCTGCTGTTAAAGTGGTTTATACCGCTAAGCAGGCAATGTTCGTATCATCTTAAATGTATTTAAACAATTTTCCATATTATTGTATGATTAATCAAAAATCTGCCTTATAGCGAATTAAAACAAAGTAGGAATTTGAAAAGATATATTTGTATGTATTTTGTTCTGTAATTTATTTTTTAAGGCAATGGTTACACGTTATTATGATTGTAATTGAATAGTCCTTAAAAATTGTTTTTTTTTTTTTTTCATTGATAGATGATACAGATGTTGTGACATCGAATGGACAGTCTTAATTAATGGAAATACATTTTTTTTTTATTTTGTGATATTTGGGTCAATTTTTTTTTTTTTTTTTAATTTACTAATACATCACTATCATCCATTATCTTACATTATATAAAATCATCACTATACTTTTAACATTTATCTATAAATATCTTTTATTACAAGTATCATTATTTTTTACATCTTTTATTACATTTTTTTAATTATTTTTCTCTTTGGTTTTTGATAATAATAATAATTTCAAATAACAACGCAACTTTTTTAAAGTATTTCTATTTACTTTATTAAAGGAAATAACGAGCGAGCACTAGATGTCGCTTGAGGACTAAATTGTGTGCAAACTCTTGATGTGTTGCATGTACCGCGCTAGTCAGCTGTCATTTTTGACATTAAACTGTCAAATATATCGACTGTCAAAATGGTAAATGACAGCTAGCTAGTGAGTCGACAGGTCATTGTATTTATACTCCTTTTAATTATTTGAAATCCGTTCGAAGTTTAAAAAGTTTGAAATTGAGAGAAATTATTACATTTAATAAAAAGTGATATATTAAACATATTTTTAACACATTATGAAATTGGCCACTATCTTTATGATTATTATAATTTATAATTTTTAAGTATATTAATTCAAAAGTACAACAAACTCATAAAGCATTACAGTCATAACAAAAAATATAATGACCAGTCCGTAACAAGTTGGTGTATGCTTTCGAAAGATGCCCGAATTATATTCGCAATGACGACAATGCGACAAAAATGACCCGTCAAGCCAGTGCAACATATACGTGCAACTTTGTGGTCGCAGTTACAGATTAATCTTTACGTCGTGGGGTGTAACAAAGACGACTTATTACACAACTTTTATGTAAGTTTTATTAACAGTATATAGTTGCGACAAAATGATCTATCAAGTTGATTGCACACGTGCGACTTTTTGTCGCAAAGTCACCACGACAAGATCGATCTGTCGACCCGGTAACACACGCGCGACTTTTTGTCGCAAGGTCTCTGCGATTAGTTAAGTCGGGCATCGGTCGCGAGCTGCAGCTAGCTATCGGGTGTGACAGTGGGACCGCGAGGCAGCGCACAAGTCGCGCTCGGTCGACAAGGCGGCGCGGCTACTCGGTGCCGAGACGTCGCGGCTACAAGATCACACGCATCATGAGCAAATCGTATGTATCCTTAGAGCATATGCCATATAAATGAGATTGAAAACGCGCGAATTTGTCAGTAGAAAAACGCCTAAAAAAATGTGGCTCACCGCAACTGCGTATTTGTTAATTTGACAACGTTGTTGATAGAAATTAACGTTGAATCCAAACAATCAGTTTAAAGGGTAAATAAAACTTAAGCTTAGTTCTTACGAAACTGAATAACTTTCTTTACTGAACATTAGAGATGTTGTTGAAATATGAAAGTAATTCGTACCATTTACGTAAAATGGCGCAACAAAAATCGCACATTTGCGTTCAGTATGGAACATTCATAAAATTTTTCATAGTGCTGTTTATGTTTTTCTTCTTTTTTTTTTTGAGTCTTTTTGATTGTCTATGCGTAGGTATAATTTATACTACAACTCATTTATATGGTAAGTGCTCTGTATTATAAAATACAATGGCTGTTTCGGAGAGATAACCACTCTTAATTGAAATACAGATTTGGAGTAAGTTTGTCGAATCAAAATTGTTATTAATATAGTCAAGCTTCGCTTGCTGTATATTGATAAAGCTTACTATAATATAATGTGTATGTTCTATGCAGCTATCTCGAGGCGTATAAGGTTAGTTGCAGAAAATTGTAATATATAAATGGTTATATATAAATCCTCTTTTTCATAAAAAATGAAACCAAATCTATTAACTATTACAGTCTTTTGTTGCTTTCTATCAATTTGAGAAATTAATGCAAAAAAAGAAATAAAATAGAGGGTGGGTAATATTATATATAATATCTATATACTGAGGGCCTACCATGTAGTGTTTTCCGAAATTTCGGAGCCAAACGAAACACAAATTTGATGTTAAAATTACACAATACATGCCGTTTGGAATTATTAAAAATGTTAAAATATTGTTCCTTTCGACTTTTGTGATAGGATGTATGACGAACGAAATGTTAAATTCCATTTATTGGTCCGATTTTGATATAAATAAAAACACGAAATTGAGTCCGAAATTTCGCAATTTCATTTCATTGTAGACCCGCTGGTCCAATATCGAATATGTTAAGTCTGTTATCCAAAAAAATAATATTGGATGACAGACTTTTAACGTGTTCGAAAATAGATTTTCGACCGATATGGGCGATATCGAAATGGGCGATGACCTTTTTTCCGCTATCAATGTTCAAAGGAACCCAGTATATAGATATCGGATCGATATCCATATTACCCATGCCTAAGATAAACTTTTCATTAACTTAGTTCTAATGTTAGGCGTTTTTATGAATAAGGGGATTAAACTTTAGTATAAGTTACAATTTTAACTTACTTATAATCACATAAGTATAAATAGGTAAAAATATATTAATTAAAAATTCCCTTAATTAGTGACTGAATGGAATATATTTAGCGTTTCTAAGTAAAGAGATATTGTTTAGTATTGATATCCCTAAAGCTGTTTTTAATATCTTGTATCGCTCTTAATAACGTATTGTCCTATCTAAAATAGCCTCTAGAATAGGCAAATTTTCCAACCTGATTCAGAAAATCAATTCTTAATCCCCAGACAATAAACTACTTTAAGGCTTGTTAACTGTTAAAATTCGTCTATCTATCTATCCTATTTAAGAGCTGCGCTCTTGTCGGTGGAGCTCTTGTCACTCACTATGATTTTCTACGAGTCTTTAGCTCTTGATACGACACGACACCAACTTTTCCCTTGATCTGCCTGATGTAACTATGCTTTGGTAATGAACTAGTAATGAGGAGGCCCTCCTTAGGTTTAAGTAAAAGAGACTATTGAGAACTATTGATTATTACCTTTGCATTATATAAAATAGAATCTTTATGAGTAGGTACGATAAACATAAAATATGTTCATAATCATAAAACATTTTCGTTGCCTAAACTACCCTCACGTTACTTGGCGTTGATGTTACAAAGTAGATACATTTCATTTCATTTTTGTACTGTCTATTTTGATGTAAAAAACTAACATTGGTGGGTGGCGATTGTCATTTATTTGTTTCACAGAATGACTAGTGTACTTTCTTTATTTTTCTGGTCTGATCTTAAGATTTAATATGTTCTAGTTGTTAAGCCATCACGTTGTGTGAGATCTATGTGTATACTTGAATCGTGCTGTATGTATCGAATCAGTTGTATAAAATAAATATTATTATTATTATTATTATTATTATTTATTGAGGCCAGAAGGGGGAAAAATGTTAGGACACTTTGTACGACACGACGAACTTATAAACATTATAATAGAAGGTAAGATAGAAGGAAGGAGGGAAAGGGATATCGAGGCATAGTTAAAATTAATAAGTAATAAAATTTATTATAAAAAAAAAAAAGAAAAACTAGTGAATTAACGAAATCAGCAATATAAAAAAAAATATAGTGTGATTAAGGTTTGTTATTAATATAAACCTTATGTGACATTAAAGTAAGGTTTAGTTTTTATATAAATCAATATAAGGATCTGTGATGACTGTAACCCAATATGATGATCAGTCGAAAGTGTAACTCGTTATCGACAGCTGGAATTGTGCGTGGAAGCGCTCGGCGAAGTGATGTCGCTACTGGCCAGAGACGACGTGGGCCCAGTCGACGCAGACCGGGGTGAAATGATCAGGTGTCTGATGCCCACCGTGTTGCATACAGCCGCCTCCATGTTAAAGGACAGGAGTAATGCTCAGGAGTTCGTTGACGATCCTTTACTGGTGAGTATAATTTATTATAGAAATTAAATTGACATTTTAAAAAATATAAGAAAGAAGGAAGAAAGCTTTATTGACGACCGACTGCATTTACAATAATATCAATTTGTAAAAATTTATTGCCAATATGGCCAACATTCAGCATTATGCTATGGCGGTTTATTTATTGCCACAGCACTGTTATTTTGTGCCAGCCATACAGTGATTTCACCGGACGACTATAGTGTATTTTTACATAAAACAATAAATAAAAATAGAAGAAAATATTAATTATGTAAAAGTTACATGGCTTGGAAAACAATGAAATAAGTATGGCCATTGTTCTATGTGTTTGAATATATAAGTGAAATTCCTAAGGTCATGTAAAAAATCTATTTTATTGTAAACCAGAGGTAGACTGTACAAAAGTCATTTGTTTGGGCACCTCTGTCCTATTCGTGTTTCTACCGTGAAGCAGTTGCATTTGCATGGCTGTGTTTCGGTTTGAAGGATGGGATATGGCAGTGAATTCATAGGGTACAGATGAATAATATTTGAACCCTCAGGAATGTCAACGCATAGGTAGTATCATGGACAAACCGTGTACTCTGTTATGTCCACGATACTGCTCATGTGTATAGGCGACAATAACATATGTTAGGCGACAATGACATAAAAAAAAGTAAAATTAAAGTAGTTTTTTATTACCAAATAATGAGATTCGGTCAAATCTTTTTTTTAGAGACGACTAGTTTGCGTCCTCCTTGATATGGTCCGCCAAATGTCCGTAGAGCAATACTGTGTGGTCGTTAAAGCGTTGGAAGCGGAAAAAATGGACAGCTCAAGATCGCTGCTAGTCGATGCATTAGAACTGTTGGGTGCTATACTGCAGCGGCCTGTATTCAGGGCACATTGGGCTGATATGCTGCATTTACAGCACTACATCATTCTACACGCATTAAGGTGAGTGTACGCGGTAATAGTGGATTGCGACTGAGATTCACTGATTATTTATTTATTTTATACTTTATTGTACCATTTGTAAAATAGTAAATACATTTAATTGTAATCAGAAATGATACAAAAGGCTGCCTTATTAATAAGCTAAGCTTTTTCTACAGTAACCGTTGGTGATTCTCGACTTGGTCACATTTGACTGAGTATATTAGAATTGGATCAGGTCTATAAGGGGTGGATATTAAAAACGTTAGCATTTTTAAAAAAATGTATTTTCTCAATTAAATTAAACATTTCAATAGAAATATGTGTTGAAAAACTAAAAAATTGAGTTTCATACCACACCAGACGAAGACTTTGTACAAAAGTCGTTTGCTTGGGCCTTTTTGTCCCATTTGTGTTTCTACAGTGAAGCAGTTGTTTGCGTGGCTGTGTTTCAGTTTGAAGAGTGGGATATGGCAGTAAATTTATAGGGTACAGAGGAATAACACCAGAGTCCGCAGGAATGGCAACGCATGGGGAGTATCATGGCGAAACAGTATACTCTGTTATGTCTATGGTACTGCTCATGTCTATAGGCGACGGTTACCACTTTTCATCCGATGGGCCTTCTGCTTGTTTGTCATTCTACAAAAAAAAAACTTTCATAAAATGATGTAAATCATATATCATTTTTTTTTAGATTACTATCAATAACTCTTCGCGAACGCCTAGAAATAGTGGACTTATCAGACGTAGAGTCTGTTGAAACGATCCACTCGATGTGGCGGGAATGGTTCAATGTGACGTCATCGCTCGCCACGTCACCCGTACTACAACTCGAGACATTGCCCACCGCGAGAAAACAACGCGTCGTGGCGTTGTACGGAGATTTGAGGCGCGAGATCGCTGAGCAGCTTAGCGACATGTGGTTTGCATTAGGTTCGTGCTGGAATTTAGTTATTTATACATATAATACGTTAGGTAAACGGCCATGTGTTTCTGGCGTAGAATAGGTCACCTCTCCCTTACCTTTGGTGTTGTAAAAGCCGACTAAGGGAGGGCGAAGGATGGGCAGCAGCGTCTTTCTTAAAACATCTTTAAAGTCTAACTGCGGTTACCAATACGTTTGCCAAGCGTGGTAACTACTGGCAAAACGCTCTAAGGGGGAGGCTTATGTTCAGCAGTGGACAGTTAAAGGTTAATATTATGATGATGATAAGGTATGTAAAATAACAGTTTTATGATTAGTAAAAGATGGAGCGTGATATGAATATTTATATTACATATGTAACAAGTGTAATAAGTGATTAAGTCTTGCTTTGGTCATCAGTTTCAAATTGGGACCTAATATAAAACCCTGTGGTACACCAAATTGAAATTCAAATGAGAATAATTTGAGGCATCAAATAGTTACAGTATATATCCGATTTGATAAGTGAGATTGGAGACAGCATAGAAGCTAGCAATGAGTGTCCGGACAAGGCGCTTAGATGTTAGAGTATATCGTGATTGACTTTGTCAAAGGCTTTCGAAAAGTCAGATAGATAAATATAATTTTAATTCTTTAATGAAAACGTTTTGAAATGTTTATATTGTACCAGTGTTATCAAAGGTTTATGTTATTTATCAGAGGACCATCGGCGCGCATTTATCCCTTGTCTCGTGGGACCATTCCTGGAAGTTAGTTTTCTGCGGGACGACGAGGTCCGGCAAAAAACCATACCCATATTCTTCGATATGATGCAGACAGAATACACTCATAGCGTGGCTAGAGGAGATACAGGTAAGCACTACTGTATCATTATATTTATTCCTTGGCCCCATTTCGTTTTGTGAATACTTAGTATGATATAAAAAAAATGAATCCGTAAATTCACTTTATTGTACTTGTACGACAATTGCTAGTATACTGTACAATAGTGGCGTCAATATGATTTCTATTGTTTAGAATGAGTTAGGTGTTTATTTTGTGTGCGCGACGGTGCAGAGGGCCACCTGAAGGAGGTGGAGAGCGAGCTGATCGACAAGCTGGACGTGCTGGCGGAGGGCGGCGCGGGCGACGCGGGCTGGCGCGCGCGGTTCGTGGCGCTGTGCGGCGCGCTGTGCCGCGCGGCGGGCGGCGCGCTCGGCGCGGCCGCGGCGGCGCTCGTGGCGGCGGCGGCGCGCCAGCTCGACACGCTGCTGCAGGACCGCGCCGCCGCGCGCGCCGCCGCCGCGCCGCACCGCATGCACCTCACCACGCGCGTGCTGCGCTTCTACGACCACATCGACCGCCAGCACATGTACATACGGTACGTACGCACCACCTCCTCGTGGCGGCGGCGGCGCGCCAGCTCGACACGCTGCTGCAGGACCGCGCCGCCGCGCGCGCCGCCGCCGCGCCGCACCGCATGCACCTCACCACGCGCGTGCTGCGCTTCTACGACCACATCGACCGCCAGCACATGTACATACGGTACGTACGCACCACCACCTACCGCCTCGCACCACCTCGCACCGCCTCCTCCGACATTCTTATTTTAAATCTCACCTTTTTGTATTTTCATTTGTGATAAATATGGAATAGAAAAAAAACGGGAGGCAATGCTAAATTTGCCATGCTCGGTGTATTTATCTCACCCCGCGCGTGCGACGTTTCAATAATTAGCGTATTATTACAAACAATTATTTCACTGATATCATTGCCGCTTCTCACAAAAATGGTACACTACAAAAACAGACAATGTATGTACACACCTAAATGTGTACGTGTGTGTATGCGTGCGTGCGAGCGTGTGCACGTGATGTGTAGTATGACGCATTCCTTTTTTGAATATCAGCGCGTACAACTATACAGTTTCCAAGTGTGTGCATATTCCATTAAGGGAATGACCGCTCTTCCACGTAGTATATCATTATATAAATCGTTAACTGTCCACTTCTGAACATAGGCTTTTCCCTGTGATTTTTTTTTTGCCAGAAATTCCACTCTAAATATTTTAAGAGGGATGTTGCGGCTCATTTCTCGACTATTATTTCCTTTAGTCGCCTCTTATGACATCTACGGAAAAAGAAGAGATAACTCATTCTATGCCGGGATCACACAGCCACAATGCGCCCAATAGTAATCCGATATTCCATTGATAGTTGCAAATTGCAAACAATTTGATCTAGCATTAAAAATGACGTATTTCACCGGCAGGTACGTGCACAAGCTAGCCGCCATGCACCTGGCGGCGTCGCAGTGGACGGAGGCGGCGCTGACGCTGCGACTGCACGCGCGCGAGCTGCTGTGGTCGCACGAGCCGCTGCCGCCGCGCCTGCGCCTGCCGCCCGCCGGGCCCGCGCTGCCGGACGCGCCGCACCACCACACGCACCGCGACCTCAAGGTCTGCGCACACCCATACCCTCCCTGTAGCTTAACTGGCCAAGCCTCTTCTATGGAATCCCGTTAGGAACTGTCCTAGGGGTTTAAAATCCCGCTGAGTATATGAATCGCTGATATAAATGTACGCTAACATTAACCTTAGCGGGAGAGCTTTATTAAACTCTGCGGAATAGACAAAGCGAATCCTATTATAATTGGTGAATTATATGCTGGCCTTTATAACACCCCTTATCCACTTGCCTTCACTACGTTCCAACTACATTTGATGATACCAAACCATCGCGCCATGTTTAGTTACATCGTTTTACATGGAGTAAAACTATATAACTATACTCAGGAGTTATGAAGTGTAGATAAAGATCATTCATTTATTAAAAGAATGGGCTCATCAATCATAATCATCAATAATCTTTTTGTCAATAATGAGTAAAATTCCGACTTATGAATAAAACTTAATTTAACAATCATTTCATACCTTACTCCTTAGCTGGAGTCTTAAAGAAGATATAGCCTACTACCACACCGGCCAGATGACGTGACTTATTGCTTTATTTGTAGAAATCTAATTAACGCAAATCATCCGGCTCAAAGGACTAAAAATGTATGTGTTACATTTTTGTATATTTGTCTTCCACTTTTTTATTTGTAAAAATGTTTATAAAATTTCTTCTTTTACATACAGTTCTGTACCTATGTATTGTACCACTTTATGGGTTCAAGCGAAAACAACTGTAACAATATTAGTACAATTTGATATTTTATCTAATTAGTCTAAAATATAAACATTTACAGGAATATCTATACTTTGAGGTGGCAGAACTCTTCAAGAAGGGACGTCAATGGGAGTTAGCCGTGGAAATATTCAAAGAGCTGGTGAATGTGTACGAAGAGGAAGCGTTAGGGTACGCGGTGTTGGCAGATCTACACGGACACTTAGCGAGTCTGTACAGCTCTATAATGACAACGCAGCGGTGCCATCCGTCGTATTTCCGAGTCATATACTACGGGAAAGGTTTCCCGGAACACTTGACTGTGGAACACGTGAGTTGTCTTTCACATACACTTCTTTGATGGAACTGAAATTGAGTGACAAATTTTAATTGATGGAATGTTTATGTGATTTGTATTTCATCATTCATCCATTATCCGTCCACTGCTGGACATAAACCTCCCCCATAGACTACCATAAGTGACAGTCCTGAGCCACTTTGTATCCACTGACTTCCTGCAATGCTTTTGAAGTCCTCACTCCATCTAGTGGGGGGTCGTGTTACACTGCTTTTACCCGTACGTGGTCGCCACTCAATAACCTTTCTTCCCCATCGGTTGTCAGTTCTTTGAGCTATGTGACCAGCCCATTGCCACCTCAGCTTGCTTATCCTTCGGGCTACGTCAGTTATTTTGATTCTTTTGCAGATATCCTCGTTTCGGATTCTTTTTTATATTTTTTTATTTATATAGCAGTAATTGCTGAATGAATGCCGAAGATTTCGCCTAACAAAAAAAAAACCCAATTTGTTGGCAATTTTTTTTTAATCTTAAAACAATGTGTGCTTTTTAAAAATGCTAAATTCTTATAGAAGTCGTATTAATTGATTAAAAATTGTCCAATATCATTATCATTTCAGTCATTAATTGTCCGCTATTGAACATATGCCTCCACATACCGTATCAGCCGCTAATTCTAACTTGTTGAACATCGGGTTCCCTCTATTGGGGGGTTTGCCAGTACTTTTTTTTAACGTCTGGAAAATGCTTTATGCAGACCCATACACCTTGTGGGAGGTAAATGGGTATTGTTGGAATCCCCCCGTAAGGTGGGAGTGTACCCACCAAAAAACCAGACGATATACCCTCGAGGTGCCATATGTCGGAGACATGGGTTCGCTTTCGCACTCACCACATCTCCGACGGCAGCGACCCGCCCCCTGATCGTAAGAGCAGGTCTCGTCTCTCAAGATAGGGTGGCTGGCGTGCTCACCTTACAACTCGGGGGATGCGCCGGTATATTAACACATTCTTCAGGATTGGGGGGTTTGCCAGTACTTGCCATGCTTGGCAGGCGGGTTGGCAACTGCGATAAGAACTTGGAGATGTTTTAAGAAGATCGCTGCTCGTCACTCGGCCATTAAGTTAAAACACACGGGAAAGGTAGGGGTGGCCTATTCTATGCCGGAAACACATGGTATAGAATAAGTTTAGCCTTCCCTTACTCCCCATAGACTGACATAAATAGAAAAATTGTCTTTGGAACACAGCAATAGTGAGCTTTCTTATATTTTTTTTTCAATGGTGATAATGAAATGGTAACCCTGCCTGCGCTAGCGGAACACCAGTGAGGGATGATAGGTGAGAATGAAAGGGCTGGTCAGTTAGCCCACCGTGATAAATACACCTGGAATTCAGCACGATTGTTACCAGGGGGAACCACGTGGAGGTCGACCTGATAGGGTATATTGCTAGCAATGGGACTAATAGTTCGCATTACTAACAATCCCTTCTCCCCAATAAAAGTCACATTAGGTACGAGCACAGAAAATATTGTCCATAGGGCTTCGTTTACCGTGGCAACGAGTACCAGCAACTATCCGACTTCACGGAGCGGCTACTGGACGAGTGGCCCAACGCGGAAGTGTTGACGAAATTGGACGCGCCCGGCGAGGAGATTGTTAATTCGAATAAGCAATGTATCCTTTATCAATCACTAGATGTATCCCGCGGATTTGTCCACGTTAACCACTTAAGCATCTTGAACGAGACCCTCTCGCGCATCGAATGTGTTCCGATTTGCTCTATCCCGAGTACCTCTCGCCACTTATAAATATTATGTTTATATTTTTATCTGGAGCGATACCTTCTCGCTCGTTTGTATTTCATAGAGCTTAGTGTATATTTATTGTATGAATACGTTCGAATTTAGTGCGAGAAAAACCCTCGCATTAAGTGGTTAATTCAGAATGTGTCAAATTTCATATATGGCAACCTAAAAATTTTTGACACTAGAGGGAGCCACATTCACACGAATTGTAGACCACTATTAAGCAGTAATATTAATGTGAATTTTAGTTTAGTATCATAGGGTTTGTTACCCGTTTAACAATATCAAATTGGTAAAATCCTGTCCATAAATTAGCTGCAATTAAAAAAACATTTTTGCTTGATGTCCATTTGGTCGACAAGTATTCGTTTTAGGCAACTTTTGCTTGTAATCATTATTATCATGTTAGCTTTATATCTGTCCACTGCTGAACATAAGCCTCCTACGGTGGGTTTGCCACTAGTTGCCACGCTTGGCAGGCAGATTGGCAACCGAAGTTAGCCTTTGGAGATGTTTTAAAAGGGACTACTGTCCATCCCTCGCCCTCCCTTAGTCGCCTCTTACGACACCCACGAGAAAGGAATAGGTGGCCCATTCTATGCTGGGACCATACGTGAATCTGCTTATAGTACGTGACAATAATTAAAACAAACTTAACTAAAAAAAAAATAGATCTCCAAATAAACGCTGTGGAGCCACTATTAAGTGACAAACTGAAGCGTCTCTCGGACAAACCAGTGTCGGAACAAGTACTGTCGTACTACAAGTACAATTGTGTGGACAAATTTGTGTTCTCCAGGCCCTTCCAGCGTCCAGGTATGTAATTTATTTATTTATTTATAAAAGACACACCAACAATATGCTCACAATAATTAAGTAGACAATATACAATGTTATTAGTAAGTAAAAGTGAAAAACTACTATTACAAAATGCTTAAATCTAAGTTAGAACAAAAACATCTTACTCCTCACTACCAAGCTTAAGGCTATATAAACATATCAATTAAAGATGTATACAGCTCTCACAGATATGCGTCAATGTACACTAACTAACAATTATATAATTAGAAAAGACCTAACTACCAATCCATATTATTAATAAGCCTAGTAAACTGCACTAAAGAATTACCAAAGATGTCGATATCATGGTCAACGTTTACGGCTTTATTATTAATTTCATCAAATTATGAATAGAATAGAATAGAAAATACAGAAAATATGTATATAAGACGTGTCTCATACTTTTAGTGAGAAACTGATTTTAAGGTTGCGGTTCCTTGATATTATAATAAGTTTTTTTTTTTTTTTTTGTAACAGAGGAATCGCCAGATGGCACCGTTGATGACTCCAACCAGAACAAATTTGCTACGCAATGGCTCCTGCGGACTGAACTTCAAATCAGTGACAAATTGCCCGGTAAGTTTGTAGTTTAAGAACGTTTTGGAAACATTTAGAAAAATTTCTATATTTCTGATTGATTTATTTAAAAAATGCTCTGATAGGAAAGTGTGATATTGGGTGATTTTTTGGTCGCCGATCATCTATAATGGAATTTCATGTAATAATAATAATTTATTTGTATAAATATGTTTAAAATAGATTTTAATTATTATAATAAATTACCAGAGGGAGACTTTGTACAAAAGACGATTGCTTGGGTACCTCTGTCCCATTCGTGTTTCAACCGTAAAGCAGCTGTGTTTGCATGGCTGTGTTTCGGTTTGAAGGGTGGGATATGGCGTGAATTTACTGGGTACGGAGGAATAACATCTGAGTCCTCAGGAATGGCAGCGCATGGGGGGTATCATGGGCGAAACAGTATACTCTGTTATGTCCATGGCACCGCTCATGACTATAGGCGACGGTTACCACTTTCCATCCGGTGGACCGCCAGCTTGTTTGCCATTCTGAGTTGTTTTAAAAAAAAAAGACTTATTTAGTCACATTGTTTTGATGGTGTGTAAAATGTAGTTTTATTTACGTGGATACATTTTGAATAATAATAATAATGACTTTATTGCGTAACCATGATTGTAACATATTCAGCACTGGAAATTACAGTAAAAGTGTATAATTTCAGACTTTTGAATAATATTTAATACAAATTTTTATTTTATTTTATTTATTGCATAAAATTTTGCTCACGTTCGATCTCAATATAAAAATGTCGGCTATTATTTCAATGAAAAGTCACGGCATTCTCGCGTCAGATTATTGATCGATGACGCACCGATCATTGGTTGACGGAAGATCGGGGACACCATAATGCACGGGATCGTGCCCAAGTTCGGTGAGCTAAATATGCTGAATTGGGTGGTACGATGGGCAGCCGACGTTCGGTTGCCGAATGTGTACTAAAGGCGTGGCGGGCGGCAGGCATCCTGCGCTGGTCTGCGGTGGAGCGCGTGCAGAGCCGCTGGGTGTCGCCGCTGGCGGCGGCCGTGGACGCGCTGCACGCCGCCAACCTCGAGCTGCGCGCGCTCGTGCTGTCCGCGCGCGCGCCCGCCGCCTCGCTGCAGCCGCTCACGCTGCGCCTCAACGGTACGTTCACACCTCCCCTGCAGGGGGGAACGGATCCTTACCAGTGGACTTTGGCAGCCTCATTGCTAGCCCATTGCACGTGGCTCGTTCCCCCTGGAAACCATCGTGAACAATTCTTGCTGAATTCGTCACGATGGGCTGGCTAGCTGACCTGCTTCATACTCACTTATCATCTCTCACTGGTGCCCCGCTAATTATTTTTTTTATACCACTGAGGTGGCAAACAAGCATACGGCCCACCTGATGGTAAGTGGTTACCGTAGCCTATGAACACCTGCAATACCAGAGGTATTACGCATGCGTTGCCGATCCTGAAGAAACCTCTTTACCCCCGTTTTGAAGAACGCCATGCTGTAGTCTCTTGGGAAAACCTCGACAGGGAGCTCATTCCACAACCTGAGTGTTCGTGGGAAGAAACATCTCTGAAGCCGCGCAGTATGCGACCATTGAGGCTGTAGGACATGAGGATGAACTCCCTGTCGATGGCGAGAGGTACGATGGTAGAAAGTAGTATGTATACCGTAATACTAATGTATACCGATAGCACTGGCGGGGTTACCATTCCATTATCATCCATTAAAAAAAAACCTCTCCTGCAAAAAAATATTTATTATACATTTTCTCATCTTATTTGCCTTCCTACTCAGTTCAGGTCTCCTGGCAATGTCATAATAGCTTTCTACTGTGACAAAAATCCGCTGTGAAATTATTATAATACCTAGTTATTACTCGCAGGCATTTTAGACGCAGCTGTTCAGGGCGGTATTAAGAATTACGAGAGTGCGTTCTTGACGCCGGCTTACGAGGAACGACACCCGGAGGATGCGCCCCTACTGGCCAAGTTGAAGGATCTCATAATGGAACAGATACCGCTGCTCAAGTATGGTTAGTTTTATTTGTTTGCACATCTCAATATCCTAGGTATTAATATAAAAATTACATGATTTTTATTTATTTATTCTTTATTGACCACATTAAAAAAAAATGTCTGGTACAAAAGGCGGACTTAATACTATATAGCAACTCCCTCGCAATCAACCTTTGGCAAAACAGAAATGTATTGACAACGAATTGATAATTCACAGCTATTATTAATCTATTATTATAAATCAAATTACTATCTATGTATTTTGGCTCTTATTCACGTTTACAAATGATGGTAAACATTTTCCGTTCGATAGAGGTCGTCAGTTTGTTTACCACTTCAAGTCATATAAGGCTAAAGCTGTATTCAAGCACAGGAACGTCAATACATCGAATTGTATACAATTATCTACCTTAGACACCCCGCGCCGAAGGCTCATATACCGTGTCAATACGTCGATCTTCCGTCGGCGGGAGATCGGCAACAACACATTGCATATTATGTGATGCGTCACATTCGGCGGACGGGGCGTGGTGAATGCTCGTATCGGTTGGTTGGTACAACCGATGGTTACACAGTTCCCTGTTTACGAATTCAGCTACGAACGGCTTATAAAATGCACTATCATTGTCTTGATTATATCTATACGACTCCTAATGTAAAATCAAATTAAATTTAATTTATATGTACAGTCTGCTATTATTGAAGAACTCATTAGGGGCTTAATAAGTGGTCCTTCGAGCCGGAACTCGTAGACGATCGAGGACACGCTAAATGTAATGCCAGCCTAAAAAAAACCTTAGCATAGTGATGTGCGTGTTCATAGATAAAGCACTAACATCATCGATCTTTATCCAGGGCTGGAAGTTCACGGTGCTCGGGCCCCTCCAGCGCTGCAAGCCCTCCACCAACACCTGGCGTCCTGCTTCCGGCAGATGCAGCTGCACGTGCACCACCGCTATGGCGTCAAGGTAATGACACTATACACATGTAGCTTTCAGCGCTGCAGGCGTTACACTATATTTCTTCGCGCCAAGTTTTTTGCGGGATATGTTTCAGAGGAGTTCTCTTCTGCGAACACTCAGGCTGTGGAATGAACTCTTTGCCAAGGTTTTCCCTAGAGTATGGGGTTTTTCAAAACGCGTATGTGACACTCTTAGTCCAGTGGCAAGCGTCTATAAGCTTGTAACTGCTTACCATCAGACAGGCTGTATGCTTGTTTGCTATCTTTATGGTATAAAAAAAGTTAGACCGAATCAACAGTCAAAGGCAATATTTACATACATCCGTTGTCAATTCGTCTCACGCGTGCACGCAAGTTACTAAGACTCCTGATTCCTCCCACATATAGACCATTATTTCTCTGATCTTAACAGTTTAATCTAGGTCTCCTCTTGCATATGTATCTATATATCCTCAATTCTATCCTTACCTTAATGATCATGGCTTGCCTTACAGATGGCCGACTTGGAACCGGAGACTCCTGAGGTGCAGTTGAGGATGCGTACTCCGACCAGGGACAGCAGCGTGTCGGATCCCAACAGCTCCAATAACAGGATATCAGATATATCGACAGGCACCGAGTGAGTACAGTAGTTTAGACCAGCGATTCCTAAAGTGGGTTCCGTAAAAAGGTCACCAGCCATGCAAACACAACAACTACCAGAGGGAGACTTTGTACAAAAGTCGATTGCTTGGGTGCCTCTGTCCCATTCGTGTTTCAACCGTGAAGCAGTTGTGTTTGCATGGCTGTGTTTCGGTTTGAAGGGTGGGATATGGCGTGAATTTACTGGGTACAGAGGAATAACATCTGAGTCCTCAGGAATGGCAACGCATGGGGGTATCATGGGCGAAACAGTATACTCTGTTATGTCCATGGTACTGCTCATGTCTATAGGCGACGGTTACCACTATTCATCAGGTGGGCCGTCAGCTTGTTTGCCATTCTAAGTTGTATAAAAAAAAACTGCTTCACGGTTGAAACGCGAATGGGACAGAGGTACCCAAGCAATCGACTTTTGTATAAAGTCACCCTCTACAAAAAATATTAAATCTTTCCTATTTATACAAAATATAGATGTATTTTTTTTACGAAAACAATAGAGCTCTTGTTCATTCAATAATACAAGAATAACCGGATTGATTTACTTGTATTTTTGGTTGAGTATCATCAACAGAAATACGTCTAAGTCAATCTGATTTTTGCTACAGAAAATACTGTCTAAGCCAGGAGTTCCTAAACTTTTAAGACAATGGAACGCCTACCAAATATATATATATATAGAATAATGAAAATATGACCTTACTTTTTTATCTTTTCAGTAATTCATCCAGGCTCAAGTTCTTCAGTTTCAATAGCGCCATAAATCCACTTGTAAGGTAATGTAATTTAATTTAATATTTAAAAATAGTATTAAATGTATTATCCTAATAGATACTAGCTGTTTCACGCGACTTTGTCCTCGTGACTCGTATATTTATTGACCGTGTCAAAAAAAGTAGTATATATCCTTCTCTTAGTACTTATATACCAAATTTCATAGTGATCACTTAATGTATTAAGGCACTGTAAGGTAACACACAAACTCATTTTCACACTTACAATATTAGTAATTTTCGAAATTTGATATAAAAAAAAATTGATTATTATATTAGAAATATATCAACGCCGTCGTATGGTCCCAGCATAGAATAGGCCACCCCTGCCTTTCCAGTGGGTGTCGTAAGAGGTGACTAAGGGAGCGCGAGGGATGGACAGCAGTGTCCCTCTTAAAACATCACTGAAGCCCTAACTGTGGTTGCCAACCCGTCTGCTAAGCGTGGCAACTACTAAACCCCCTTATGGGGAAGGCTGATGTCTGATGATGATATTAAAAATAATTTGTGTATACCAAACAATGATTGATTGAGCAACTGAAGTGCCAAAAAGTAACAAACTTTTCCCATTAGAATATTGGTTAAGATTGAAATATAATTTATATTCCTGTCTAGGAACAGCAGTGGTGGGTATTTCGGCACATTGCAGAATCCACCCAGGAAGAGGGACAAGCGACGCACCAGAAAGGTCAGTCTGTCCACTACGAACTATTATGAAATATCATTCACCAGAGGGAGACTTTGTACAAAAGTTGTTCGCTTGGACGCCTCTGTCCCATTCGTGTTTCTACCGTGAAGTATTTGTGTTTGCATGGCTGTATTTCGGTTTAAAGGGTGGGATATGACAGTGAATTTACAGGGTACAGAGGAATATCACCTGAGTCCTCAGGAATGATAATGCAAGGGGAGTATCATGGGCGAAACAGTATACTTTGTTATGTCCATGGCACTGCTCATGTCTATAGGCGACGGTTACCACTTTCCATCAGGTGGGCCGTCAGCTTGTTTGCCATTCTAAGTTGTATAATAATAATCACCCGGCTCGAAGGATCAAAAATGTACATGTGTTACATTTTTGTATATTTGTCTTCCACTTCTTTCACAAAAAAAATGTTTAAAATTCTCTCTAAAACACTCTTAAAAGTCTTACCACAAGAAAACTAACCACTCTACTAACTAACACTTTCCTTTTCCTTTTTAACATTTCATCTTGTTTTGCAGCGTAGCGTTTACAGTATAAAGGTATTTAATGATTAGATTACCATTATGCTTTTGTGGCATTAAAAAAGTTAAATTCAAGCTATTTTGTTTTGTCTGTAACAAGTCTTAAGTAAGTATTTGTCTAATGTTTAAACCATTTACACTTCTATTTATCTAGTCATAGAAAACAGACCAAAATTCTAACATATTACTCTTGCTTCATCCAAACTCATAGCACGTTTCATGCATGCACGCCTGTATCTGTGATTCTTGATCTTTAGGCATGGGATCATATCAATACCGCTTCCATATCTATACCATCTAGATATTGATAGCGGTAATATATATATATATATATATATATATATATATATATATATATATATATATATATATATATATATATATATATATATATATATATATATATATTATATGTATGTTTATATTATAGGAATACATCGAATATTGCTTTATTTCTCCTCTATTCAATAATGCACCGCCTACTTATTTCTCTGTTTACAATAGTTGACTGGTAGAGAACACCATCCAATGTAAAGTCCGCCAAATATACATAGAATTTTACTGTGCGTTAAATTTTAAATAAGTAAAATACATATCTGTCACGTCTATCTCCCATTAGGGTAGGCACAAACAATGGAACGCCAAATGCTTCGATTCAAACAAACCTCTTTCACTTAGGTAAAATACTGTAACAAAACTATATAGATATTAGTATATTATATATTACCCACTCTTGATACTTGAATGTTACTATGAGACAAAGTAATAAATTGTTACTGCAAATTTCCAGAGTGAAATAGGCACTCCGGCGAGCGGCAGTCAGTGGTACACGTCGCATTCCACGCCCAACGGCAACGCCAGTAACACGTCGCTGACCAGCGCCACTATACCGGACACGCCTACTTCGTCGCCGCTGCGGGAACTGCGGCAGGAGGTAACTTGCGCTCAGCTATACACGTGCAAATGTCTACATGGGGGATGGGGGGGAAGAATAGATAAATAGATAGATACTCTTTATTGTTCCCTCCAAAAGATTACAATAGTAAACTTATTATCTCTCTCTCTCTTCGTCCTCTTCATTACTGAAGGTCGTGTCCTTGGAAGGTGTCTGTTGCCTCTCTTATGATGTTATTCCATTTTACACGGTCTTCAGCTTCTCGCAGGGCAGCTGCAATCGACAGTCCCGTAACGGCGGTCACTTGGTCCGACCATCGATTAGGCGATCGTCCGCGTGGTCTTTTTCCCTCTATCTTGCCTACAACCATTAGTTTGTCCAGATTGTCGGACTGTCGTCGAGCAATATGACCGAAGTATCCAAGAATCCTCCGATAGCAGACCGTCGAGAGCCTATCTTTTATGCGGAGTCGCGTCAGGATAGATATATTTGTGCGCTTTGCTGTCCAGGGAATTCTCAGCATCCTTCGCCAGCACCACATCTCGAGAGCATCAATCTTTTTTCGCTCCTTTGCTCTTATTGTCCATGACTCGATTCCATACAAAAATATCGGGAAAATCAAAGTACGGACTAGTCTTATTTTGGTGGCATTTGAGATTTTTCTGTTCTGCCAAATGCAAGTTAATTTGTTCATTGCGGTCTTTGCTATTTGAGTCCTTCTTCTAATTTCTCGCTCGCTTCCTCCTTCGTTGGTCATGAGAGATCCCAGGTAGACGAACTCACTCACAAACTCCAGATCAGAGAGTTCACCAGTCCTAGATAGTTGGCTGGTTCTATCGACGAGCATGACTTTTGTCTTTGATTTGTTGATATCAAGTCCAACCATTCTACTCTCATATTCCACTCTGTTGTATAATGCGGCGAGTTCCGTCTCTGACGACGCGAAAAGTGTGGTGTCATCAGCATATCGGAGGTTACTGATCTTTACACCCCCGACAGAGACGCCTCCCTCCCAATCTTCTAAGGCTTTTCTCATTATGTATTCGCCATATATGTTAAAGAGAATAGGAGAGAGTATACATCCCTGTCTTACTCCCTTCTCCGGCTTGAAGTCTTGCGAAATGACCCCGTTGACCCGTACCATTGAGACTCCGTCTTGATAGAGCCCAGAAATCAACGCCACCAAATGCGAAGGCACTCCCATTTCCCGTAGAACCACCCACAGGCAATCCCAGCGTACGCAGTCAAACGCCTTCGAGTAATCGATAAAGCACATTAAAATTGGTGTATTAAATTCCCTGCTTTTCTCAATTATCTGCCGCACATTCACGATCTGTTCTCTTGTGCCTCGTCCTTTTACGAACCCCGCTTGTTCATTAGGTATCTGCCACTGAAGAAATGACTGCAGTCGCCCATTTAACACATACAACATCACCTTGCTGGCATGAGATATGAGTGCCACTGTGCGGTAGTTACCACATGATCTGGTAGATCCTTTTTTGTGAAGAGGAACCAGCACTGATTCCTTCCAGTCAGTAGGCCAACTACCAGTACTCCACACCTGGTTGCATAAATCCAGCATTATTCTTACTCCATGCTTCCCTAAGTGCTTGAGCTCTTCAGCGAAAATTTGGTCTCTACCGGCTGATTTATTATTTTTAAGTTTGTTCAGAGCACTTATGATTTCAGATTCAAGAATGCTGGGCTCCGTACAATGCCTGTCTACACTCGGAGCACTGAGAGCCCGCACAGGATGAGCATTAGAATATAGGCTTTGGCAATATGATTTCCATCTATCTGTCACTAGATCAATTTCTGTCAGGAGTTGACCCTCTTCGTTTTCTATGGCCCATGTTTTTGGTTTAAATTCACGGGTTAGACTCTTGATCTTCAAGAAAAGGTCTCTCGTCTGGAACCTTTGAGCATTCGTTTCAACCTCGTGACATATTGAGTTAATGTAGTCGTTATAGTCTCTTCGACATAATCGCTGAACCTTCGCAGACAACTCTTTATATTTGATGCTTTCGATGCTTACGGTCCCTGTATCTCCTCTGAGTATCGCCTTTCGTTCTTTGATAACGTGCCATGTTTCCTCTGTAATCCAAATTTTTCTGGGAGCATCAGGCGTCACACTTTGGCTGTTTTTACGTGACATAAGTATCAGGTTTTTAACTCTGTTCCAATTATCGTCAGCATCAACTTGACTGTCTATAATTAAGTCTGCTGCCCTGGTCTCAAAGCGCTCAGTAAAGTCATCCAATTCTCCACGGCATGGTCTTCTCACGAATGGTTGAATTGTGCGATTGCACTTTTTGAGTCTCACCCTCATTTCTGCTATTAGGAGCTTATGATCGCTTCCGCAATCAGCCCCCGGATAGGTTTTAGCATTAGTAATACATGACCGCCATCTTTTTGCCACAGCGATGTAATCGATTTGATTTCGTGCACGATCTCCCGGCATTACCCACGTATAAAGTCTCCTTGAGTGGTTTTTAAAACACGTGTTCATAATTGTGAGGGAGTTCTCTGCACAGAATTGAAGCCACATTTCGCCTCTCTCATTCCTTTGACCCAAACCATATTTTCCGACTACTTCTCTCAGGTGGTCATCTTTCGACGTTTCGCCAATTTTTGCATTTAGGTCTCCCAGTAGCAGCGTGATATCTCTTCTTGGCATGCCTTTCAGAGTCTCCTCGAGTCGACCATAGAACTCCTCCATAATACCCTCGGTTGCGGCAGACGTAGGCGCATACACCACCACCACATTGATACGACAAGGACAAACTTATTATAAATATAAATAATTACAAGAAATAATCATAATGAGAAAACAATGGGCAACTTCCAGGCAACCTTTGAATGGAGAGGAGTAATTAAATTGTCAAATTAGCGTTTTCTTTTTATGGAAAAGTTGACCCGTTTTTCTCGAAGCATTTCTTCACTCTATCTATATAATCTAAGAAATATATGTATATAACAACGTCATGTGGTCCCGGCATAGAATAGGCCACCTCCTTTTCCGTGGGTGTCGTAAGAATCGACTAAGGGGGACACCAGCGTCCCTTTTAAAACATCACCAAAGCCTAACTGCGATTGGCAATCCGCCTGCTAAGCGTACCAACTACATGCAAAATCTCCCTTCTATGGGGAAAGCCTAAGTACAGCAGTGGTCAGTTAACGGCTGATGATCATGAGGATGATGATGGCCTAATTAGGTCGAGTCTATGTCTGTATGTGAACTAAAACGAGGAAAAACATGCATTGATTGCTTTACATGTAATGAATGTATTACCTAATATTTTGTTAAATGATTTATGGGGAACACATACAATATTGATATAATGGTTCTATATTTATATTAATTTTTAATTAAGAATATGTATCACAAATATTGCCAACTAATAAATCTTGAGGATGTCTGTATGAGGTCAACTGGGATAGAACTTTTGTAATTTGAAAGAAAATCGGTACTATTTTACTCGAGCCACTCTGCTCACATGTACAATACTATTTACACGAGTTACAATACTTACACGAGCCTCTACATTTCATGTTCAATGAAACATATAATTTACACGAGTCAAATTACTAATACGAATCTTCAACCATATTATTTATACGAGCCACACCACTCTTATGAATCACCACACGAGCCACGCCACTTTTCCGACTCACTACACTCTCACGAATTATTTCACTCACATGAGTCACTCAATTCCACTGCCACGAGCCACCTCACTTATTTGAGCTATCCTACTCACACGAGTCACTACAATCTTATGAGTCACCCAATTTACACGAGCCATTCCACTCACACGAGTGATCACACTCACTCACGACTCCACCCGCACTGGCCTTATCCGCCCACCGCTGAGCACGAGCCGCGGCGGTGGCGCGTGGGTACGGCAGTAGAGTGTATCAGTGGTCGGGCGGTGGTGTGCAGCTGGTGCGCGCGCGGCCGCTGCGGGCCGAGGCGGAACGTGAACGCCGCGCGTCGCAGCGAGCCAGCCTGCTGGCCTCCGCGCCGCCCTCCAACAGGGACTCGCTCGGTGAGTCTGCTACCAGCTACCGACCTCTGAACAAACCTCTTTAGCTCCCTTCTGAAGAACCCCATGCTGTAGTCACTTGGGAAAATCGCATTAACATCTACTGATATTATAATATTAAAGAGTAGCCGTTCCCTGCGGCGTTGCCCGCTTCTAACTATGCAGTACCCGTATATCATTCCCATTGAAACTCTCCATGAATCCGGTCTTTTACTGTATTGTATACTTAAATGATACTTACGTACCTAATACCTTCATGAAATTTCAGCCAATTCAACTGATCGGTTATTTTATAGCATTTTATATATGATTCGTTAAATTGATATATTTTTTTATTTATGAACCGATTGAAATAAAACGAACGCTAAATGTTAAGTGGAGTAAACCGCAACGCATTAGTGAGAACTGCGTTCAAATCGGTCAAGCCGTTTCTGAAATTAGCATGCACAAACATACAGACAAACGGACAGAATTTTTTTAAAAATAATTGTTTTGAATTCTATAGCGTTCATAAAGTCCCTCTATAATAGTTTTTCTTATATACCTTCCAAGTACAGACAGTGACCAGTTACGATTTTATTTATATATTTTAATTCAATGTTTAACAGGTACCACGGACTCCAATCATGACGACGAGGAGCCACCGCCACTCCCCGAGAAGCTATCCCACCGCAATTCAGACTTGGACGGCGATAACAACAATAACGGAGAATCGACCCCGCTACCCGTCAGGAACAACTACGATATGGTGATGCCGCCCACTAGGGGTTCCTTTCTATATAATTCTCTAGCTACGAGAAGGAGCACGACAGCGATTGGCGAGAAGCCACCAACCCCGCCGCCTAAAAAGAAAAATGTACAAAATAACAATTTGTAATTTATATAATTGTATAGAATTGTATAGAGCAGACAATATTACCCTTTGATGTAGCCGCTAGGCGCTTATATACAAGGGCTTTTTTTTAATGAATGACAATGGTATGGCAACCTCGCCTGCGCTAACGGTATATGCTGGCGGGGCACCAGTGAAGTATGATAGATGAGGATGAAAAGGCAGGTCAGTTAGCCTATTGAATTCACATAGAATTGAACACGATGGTTTCCAGGGTAAAGGAGGGAGGAGTCGACCTGAGTGGGGGGCATATTGCTAGCAATGGGGCTACTAGTATACTATATGCTATACTGACAATCCCTTCTCCCCCCTATATACAAGGGTTGTTACATTATTACAGAGACAGCCCTTGTATATAGGGAGAAAGGGATTGTTAGCAATGTAGTTTGACAGCCCCATTGCTAGCAATATACCCTATTAGGTCGACCTCCACGTGGTTCCCCCTGGAAACCATCGTGAACAATTCTCGCTGAATTCGTCACGATGGGCTAACTGACCTGCTTTATCCTCACCTATCATCCTTCACTTGTGCCCCGCCGGTGTATACCGATAGCGCGGGTGGGGTTACCATTCCGTTATCACCCACTAAAAAAAAAGCCCTTGTATATAATAGTATTAACTACGATATAGTCAAAAGAGGTGTATTAAAAATTATTAGAAGTGAATTAATATTGAATGTATTGCAACATGCAATAAATATAATGTTGCAGTAAGATGCAAGTAGCTATATAAGCCTGGTTATATGTAGAACGAATAAGTTTTTTTTATCAATACATTGAAATTAATCAAGTGCCAGTCCTGATCGTGTCTTGAATAACGAACAATGGTTCGGATTCGCACACTGTTTCTACTTTCAAATAGATACTATGTTCTATTTACGATTTTTGGATACATATTTAAAAACGAGTAATACATCGACTTGATTGGTTCATTCGAATCGATCATGATTCGTTCGTGTTGTGTTGATACTAGATTTGAATTTACTTTCTATTGTATATAATATATAATATATATATATATATATATATATATATATATATATATATATATATATATATATATATATATATATATATATATATATATATGACCTCGAAAGGGTGATTACAAAAATATAAAGTATTTATTTCGCGCAAAAACATGGTATAAAAATATTTTGTTTTTTCAACTGATACGAACAGGACATTTGAAATCTCTAGAGATTGTAATGTGAACTGATTTCATGTAAATTAAGAACAAAGCAAAAAATTGTAAGAAAAATAATTCAAAATCCGATATACTTGGGATTTTTTTACATATATGTATACATCCAGAAGCCCAGGCGTCATTTATTATTAGAATATCTCTTTTTACTTTGAAAATTGTGACGTTTTGCTATCTCAGCATCACTGCTGTATGTAAACGAGATAGAAGTTTTATTTACCATCTCATTCTATCATCTACTTCAATAGAAGTGTAAGCTAGATGGATATATGAAGCAGGTCGTACTACTTCCAATTTATTTGCTTTAATTTCGTGTTCACAGTGCAATCTCTATTTGACGAGTCTTCTTGATTATCAAAGTCATTGACTTCTGTGAACAGACGTCAGCATTGACTAGAAATCGACCACCGTGTGTTGCCAATGAAAATGAACTCTATTGCTATTGGTGCAATGATGTTTTTTTAATGACATATTGACGAAACAATTTTAGTTGTTGATAAATCGACTGAAATGATAAGTAAATTTGTCGCTCGATACACGCGTACAATTTTATTGTCATAGTTTATTTTATAATACTCGTATTGTGGATATTTTCTTTATAAATTGAATTTAAAGACACTTTAAAACGATGAAAAGTATCAAGATTAGTCATATCACGTGATGACATGGCAAGGTACTGTCAGCAACAAATATATTGACTATTTTACTAAGCGGTTAATGCAAATTATAATAATCATATTTTTTATGCTGACTGTACCCATCTAGAGTTTGCTGACAGACCGTATACATAGCGATTAAGTGTAATATTATTCAGTATTTGTATAAAGTGTATTTCGAATAAGTAACAGCGGTTTTTATATATATTTGAAATTGCGCATTGATTCAATTCAATTATTTACCATAAAGGTAACCGTACACGGTCTATTATTGCTTGGACAAATAGTACAAGTTTTTTTGTTGCTCTTGAATGAAAACTACTAATATTGTTCGTGCGAGGCAGCGCCCTCTATTGTTAAGAATTCATCATCCATCACCAGAGAGAGACTTTGTATAAAAGTCGTTTGCTTGGGCACCTCTGTCCTATTCGTGTTTCTACCGTGAAGCAGTTGTGTTCGCATGGCTGTGTTTCGGTTTGAAGGGTGGGATATGGCAGTGAATTTACAGGGTACAGAATAATAACACCTAATTTCTCAAAAATGGCAACGCATGGGGGGTATCATGGGCGAAACATTATACTCTGTTATGTCCATGTTACTGCTCATGTCTATAAGCGACGGTTACCACTTTCCATCAGGTGGGATATCAGCTTGTTTGCCATTCTGAGTTACATAGAAAATCCATCTTCGTGTTATACTACTGGAAATTCTGATCTCTTCATCAGCCTTTTATCACCGTACCTCTCGCTATAGAGTTGGAGTTAATCCACATTTTTTTTATACAACTTAGAATGGCAAACAAGCTGACGGCCCACCTGATGGAAAGCGGTAACTGTCGCATAAAGACATGAGCAGTACCATGGACATAACAGAGTATACTGTTTCGCCCATGATACCCCCCATGCGTTGCCATTCCTGAGGACTCAGGTGTTATTCCTCTGTAGCCATTAAATTCACGCCATATCCCACTCTTCAAACCGAAACACAGCCATGCAAACACAACTGCTTCACGGTTGAAACACGAATGAGACAGAAGTACCCAAGCAATCGACTTTTGTACTTTTGTTGTTTCCTTCTGGTAAAATTTTATTGATTTAAAATCACATTTCTTGATTGCGTGGCACACTACCACTGTCCAAACATTCCGTTTGTTCCTTCAACATCTGAGTGTTAAAATGAGCTTCCTTCGTTAGTTTCTCCCAATATAATATTAAAAAATGTACCTACAAGCATTTAAAAGACCAGCAACGTACGAGCAGTATGGGCGACGGTAGCCGCTTCCCATCAGGTCGACCGTCTGCTCGTTTGCCTCCCTAACAATAAAAAAGTCGCTTTTTAAACTCTAAAAGACATTTTAAAAATTGTCTAGACTCCGCATTATTTCAAAAACTAAAATTTGATTTAGTCGTTCCAGCAATAAAGTACCAGCAATTGATAAATATGCAAGCAACTCAACTCAAAATGCTCAACTGAAAATGGACCGTGTGCGGTCCACCTAAAGTTGTATTTACCAATATTTCAATTTGATGTTGAAATAGTTTAAAAAAAGCAATGAAAAGATTTTTTTTTTAAATAATATAGGGTTTTTTTTTGTCTATTTTTTAAGTAATAACCTCCCACCACTACAAGTAGGTAAGTACTTATCACGTGTTACCAGATTAAATTTATTTATGTATATTTGTTTTACTCCTAAGACCATTCAACACTGGGAATTATACACAATTTTTAACATAAAGCCCTATTCACACATTTCCAAGTCAAGATTTCTACTTTCAAATATTCAGTGTTCCATCACGGAAGTGTCGTCTGTAGTTGACAGTTTACATCGGTGTTTCCCAAAATGAGGACCACGCCCCACATGGGGGCAATTTGATAGTTAAGGGGGCGGGGCAATTAAAATATGGACTCGAAGCTATTTTAACCCTCTTGGCACCGATATCTACTTAATCTTGTGAGATAGTGAAACCTTGATATAGAAGTAAGCGGACTTTGTACAAAAGTCGATTGCTTAGGTCTCTGTCCCATTCGTGTTTCAACCGTGAAGCAGTTGTGTTTGCATGGCTGTGTTTCGGTTTGAAGGGTGGGATATGGCGTGAATTTACAGGGTACAGAGGAATAACATCTGAGTCCTCAGGAATGGCAACGCTTGGGGGGTATCATGGGCGAAACAGTATACTCTGTTATGTCCATGGTATTGTTCATGTCTATAGGCGACGGCTACCACTTTCCATCAGGTGGGCCGTCGGCTTGTTTGCCATTCTAAGCTGTATAAAAAAAAGGTCACAGAAAATGCAATCAAATCTTGTCTCGTTCCTGACCGACCCCTGACCAGGAAAGGTGTGGATAGACCTCAAATCGCACGACTCGTGTTGAATGTTCTAAATCATTGATGTCTATCAGAAAGTAATTAAAAACCTATTGCTCATTTACATATATACAGGGTGGACGTTAAAATTGCATCCTTTTAGTTGTATCAGCTGTTACTGTCCACTTCTGAACATAGCCTACCACATAAGCGGAGTGGGAGGGGGGGGGGTTGCCAGTTGTCATGTTTAGCAGGCGGATGGGCAACCGCAGTTTGGCTTTTGGAGATGTTTTAAGAGAGACGCTGCTGTCCATCCTTCACCCTTCCTTAGTCGCCTCTTACTACATTTACGGGAAAGGAAGCGGTGGTCCATTCTATGCCGGGACCACGTGGCTGCTCTTTTAATGGAGTATTTTAATAGTGAAACTAAATATTTTTCCCAAATACATTAGAAAAATGAATATAGAATAACATGAAAAAATTTGTCGTTCCATTTCATTCTAATTTAAAAGGATGTTATTTTTAATATCACCCTGTATAAATATAATTACGACCACCGAAATATAAATATAACATTTGTATAATATAGATAAAGCTGTATATAATTATGTATTGTTTAAAACTGAATGCCATTCATCCAAAGCGTTTGAATTAAAAAAAAAAAAAAAAGAAAATGTTATTTGTTCAATAGTTTTAGTTGGTAAGTTTATGTTTTCAGAATGTGTTACCGTTGTTTGAGATTTATTACAATTATTATTACTCTAAACAATCCGTTGTAATTTAAGACTTGTAGCTTTGATAATAAAGACAATATTTTGTTGTCAAAGTCTGATTTTAATAAAAAAAGTATTATGTAAAATTGGGAGGGACTTGAACTATGTCTACATAGTGGTAAACGTTATGGGAGTACACATCGGGGGTCGAGTCTGAGGTGTCATATCTCTAAATCTATCTCTTTGACTGATATTTTAATTCGATAATTTCGCTAAATTACTGTTTTATACACTGTCGTAATCTAAAGCTGTAATAAATTTGACTTGTATATGAAACTAGTTCATATTGATATTAATCTAAGAACAAGAATTACATAGAAGGAGTGATAAAATTGATAATTCATAGCAGGCCAGTGTATAGAAAATGTTATACGGCCGTATAACCCTACCAAATTTAGATACAACATGCTTGCATACTTTCTACATAAACTGTGTCCAATATATAATCTGGTAATGTAAAATTTGTCTTTGACAAATAATTGACATATCTAACATTTTCTATACACTAGCCTGCTGTGAATTGAGAAAAATAGCAACTGATGGTGTATCTTTCGTCCCCTTTTTACTAATTATATTTGCATAAGAAGAAAAGAGGCAACCATATGATTTACGGTTTTTATTTTATCATTCCTTCTATGTAATTCCTTGTTCTTAGATATGATCCCTATGTTAGAATAAATATTTCGTTGTCATATCAAATTGAAATCTTAATTTTGGATATAGCGTCTCAGAATCGATCCCCATTGTATTTCAGTTCTAAAAATAACCAAATTGATTTACTTGTATTTATACGATGGTAATTTAAGATTAAGGGATCGAAACTAGGCGATTTTTCACTATAAAATATACGTAAGTCAGTCCTGTTATTTTGACAAATTATAAATGTATACATTATTATACATGCATACTGCATTACATTACATATATATATATATATATATATATATATATATATATATATATATATATATATATATATATATATATAAATTGGAAAAGAATAAGATCCATTACTGTTGATTCGGAAGTCATGATAATTCTCTCATAAATCACTAATTTTTAATTTATAGATACATACAAATATGCAAATATCATTAATAATGACCCGTGTAATTCAAATCACATTTTTAATGAAATATTTAAAAACATTTTGACCATATTTTAGATTAACATTATCCTGTAGGCTACGTTTATAGTATTTCACGTGAGTCAAGCCGCGGCGCACAGCTAGTAATGCTTATTGTCATACATTATCATAATTTTAATGCTATGTTCTAAATTAAGACGTAGTATTCTTTATATGTTTTCCGTAAACAAAACCGCGGTAAAGAACTCTTTTACCATAATATAAAATGTAATAAAAGGCGGTAATAAATGAGAACGCTAATAAAAACCATAGTACAAAACATAAATAAGCTATTAAATAATCACTACTGGGCATTTTTGTATACTACACTATTGGCAAACAAGCATACAGCCCGTCTGATGGTAAACAGTCACTGTAGCCTGTGGACGCTTTCAGCACTAGGGGTGTCACGTGCGCATTACTCATACGAGTGCTGTACTAAAACCCATTAATTTCCACTGCTGGACACGAAGACTCGAGCTCAGATCTTCAAACCAGAGGGCGCCGTAAGCGTATACTGCTGCACACTGTATGATGCGGTCGTACCGTCAATGTCAATTGTCATGTAGCCTCCAACTCCCCCCAATGTTTGACCATATAACCAGTGTTGCCAGAACGGGGAACTTTCGCAATATTAGATAAAAATTTTAGTGATCACGAAATTTTAGAAAAAAAAAAATTAAAAAGAATTTGGTAATTATTTTCGACAGTTTTACAAGTACTGGTAAACGTATAGCTCTACATAAAATCGATAGAATATAATAAATGTAGGCAGCAACACAAGAAGAAATAAAGCATTGAGAAGGGAGTTGATTTTGCTGTTCGAATAGTGGTTACGTAGCAAAACGTAGTGAAATCCGACAAAAGTTTATTATTATATTAGATTATGAAGGAAATCGTATCATTTTTAGATAAATATTTTTGACATTTTTGATTGAAAATAAAAAAAAAATACACTTATCTGGCAACACTGCATAATATGCGACGTGTCTCGTGCTTAGACGAATGTAAGCACATTGATATACAAATCTTTGCCAATTATCTATGGTTATCCGAACAACAGGTAATAACGTAAGCGAATTTGAAAGTGTCTATTGTCCGTAACAGACGTTAAGCGTAAAATTAATTCATATTTTGGCAAACACAATCACAAATTTTACATTTATATATATTAAAATGGCAAGAATAATCTGTAACGTATACCTCGGTAACTGCCCACGATAATTTTCAATTTTTTTCACCGCAGAATTACATTTCTGTTTTGCCAAAGGTTGACTGCGAGAGTATGGCATGCTATATGGCATTCTAAGTCCGCCTCTCGTACTAAACATGGTCAATAAGGAATACATAAGTAAACTTGTTTAGCTCGAGATTGCTTAGCAATAAGACCGCCTTCTGTACTGCACTATACTTGTCGAAAATTGTTCAACAAATCCTGTTATGTCGGAGCAATAAAGTGTTAAATAAATAAATAGACAATACTGTAATTTTTTTATGTATTGTCATTTTTATATGCTTGTAAATTTAGTCAATTTTGGTTGGGGTAGCATTTTTCTAAATTATGTACAGATGTTATATTGGAGTTAATGTTACGCCATATCTCTAAACCTACATCTAAGAATTTTAATTTGATGTCACAACGAAATTTTCACTCTTACGGCCAATATGAGCAAAATTTCTTATAGGTAGATTTAGTTCTAAATTATTCTAAATTTAATTTGTGTTGATCCATAGTACAGCTATTTAGTGAAACTATCTGATTATGTAATAGGTTGTGATAAATTTAGAGAAATGGCTCAAAATCAACCCTATTTTACTCTTTATTCAGTATTAATAGTAAATACAGGATCATACAAAATAATTTACATCCTTTTTTAGGGGAGTTCCATTAATGGATTTGAACATTTTTCCTAAAAAAAAAAACGAGCTATAAAACGAGGAAAAATTTTGTTCCTCTACATAATTAATAGAATTAGTTGCACCGACAAGAGGTAACTCTTGAATGAAAAGAAAGAAAGAAGACAATTAATATAGCGCATCTAGCCATAAATCTAGTATGGGAATCTTTAATCCTTTATAGATGAATGCTTTTTATTAAAAAAAAAAATGTAAAACTTCACGGTGTAGCTTTGTATGTACCCTAAATACTTCCCAAAGTATTTTAATGAATGAATGAATGTATGTATACTATTATTTCTTTCAAAGAATGACACAGATTATAAAGGTTAACAATATGTACATGAAAAAAAAAATTTATAAAAACTTAAAAATACAGTAAATACGAGTATTTCGTTGTAATATCAAATTGATATTTTTATTTTAGAAATAAATTTAAAAGGAATGATGCCTCAGAATCGACCCCAGTGACTAGTACACCTATAAATTATTTGTGAATAAAATTGATTTTTCTCGGTTTTACATATGAAATATCCATGAAAGGTGGATACAAAGAGAACACTGTTTCAATACGTATATATTAATGACAATGGTACTCTGTAGGTGCTAGTGTAAAACTATGTATGTAAATATATTAAATTTAGATGTTATTTTAATATAACACCTTAGTCTTCAAGAATGGCATCGCATGAAGAGTATCATGGGCGACACAGTATACTCTGTTATACCCATGCTAATGCTCATGTCTATAGGCGACACCAGAGGGAGACTTTGTACAAAAGTCGTTTGCTTGGATACTTCTGTCCCATTCGTGTTTCAACTGTGAAGCAGTTGTGTTTGCATGGCTGTGTTTCGGTTTGAAGGGTGGGATATGGCGTGAATTTACAGGGTACAGAGAAATAACACCTGAGTCCTCAGGAATGGCAACGCATGGGAGGAATCATGGGCGAAACAGTATACTCTGTTATATCCATGGCACTGCTCATGTCTATAGGCGACGGTTACCACTTTCCATCAGATGGGCCGTCAGATTGTTTGCCTTTCTAAGTTGCATATAAAAATTTTCTTTTTCAACACATGTTACGTGTTGTTGTAAATTTTCAAAAATATTCTTCAATGATATTTTATATGGATTTATAAAAAAGAAGTGCCCTTATAGTAAATGTAATTTAAAGTTTTATAATTAGATTATATTTAAATTAAATAATGTATACGTAAAAGGTATTTATATATTAAGTAATTCTACAATAATTATTCTTAAGGTTTTGTTGATTATTTTTGTGTTATATGCGGGACGATATGATATATATATATATATATATATATATATATATATATATATATATATATATATATATATATATATATATATATATATATATCAATAATTACTAGTACCGCATTCGAGTATTCTGACACTTCCCTATGGTTGACTGGGAGAGAATGCTTTTAGCATTAAGTCCGCCATGTACACATATATGTACTAATGAATAAATAAATAAATAAATAAAAATTATGTAAATATTACGGATAGGTATTCCATGATTAATGTAACATTTTTTTTTTATGGATGATAATGAAATAGTAACCCCACCCCGCCTGCGCTATCGGTATAAGCTGGCGGGGCACCAGTGAGCGATGATAGGTGAGGATGAAAAGGCAGGTCAGTTAGCCCATCGCGATGAATATACCAGGAATTCAGCACGATAGTTTCCAGGGGGAACCACGTGGAGGTCGAACAGATAGGCTATATTGCTAGCATTGAGACTGATAGTCCGCATAACTAACAATCCGTTCCCCCCAATGTAATAATTTGTATTTGTTATCAGTATTCTCGAAGTTATAAGAATAAGTATTATTTTTATCGGTTTTTAATTAAACGAGCGAAATACTGATTTAGATAAATGACTGACTAAAAACTAGGACTTTGTAATTTCAAATTATCTTTAAAGATTCAAATTGAATCCAAATATGTTAACAGTGATACAATTTGTCTACACACGTGTGCTCTTGTTTCCCAAAGCAGGATATCAAATGTGTTCGTGCTTATTTATGTATAAAAATAATATATTATTATATGTATATCGTGGGGTATTATATTTTAATAAAAATAAAAAATAGTCACAGATATGAATTTAAATAGACATATATAATATTTGTGATTGAGATGAATATCTTTAAGATTTATTAAAAAAAAAGTGAATAAGTAGAGATGGGCTATATATAGTTAGAATATCTATATAATGGCCCAATAACGGTTATACTAAATATATCGAAAATGAAAAATCTGATTAAATTGAATATAGATATCCGACCGGTATGGGCGATATCGAAATGGGTGATAACTTTTCCCGCCATTTATATCCAGAGGAATTAAATATATGCCTAGTAATCCAAGCGATATATATATATATTAGGTACTCACGTCTAACATTCAAGTAATAAGTATTCTATCGTCCCGCCATGCTGCCATACAGCGCACCAAATACTATATGTATATATATATATATATATATATATTGTTGATTTTGTCAATTCTGTATATTATTAGATATCGGTTCGATGACATTGTGTACTCGTGACGTAAATCAGTAAATATTACCATAAATAAATAGTTTTTTTTTTCTAATAGATATGTCTACGGCGTATTATTTTAAACCTTCCCAATGTCGTATTAAAATTTGTCTACGACGTTTTAACAATGGATGTATGAATGAATGAGTATATTTGCATTATACAATACAGAGAATACAAGAATACAAACAATAGATAGCGTTTGTTTAAAAATAATAAGACGCCGAAATACTGAACACGGTTAAATAGATGTGTTTTTGAATTTACACGGTACTTAAGCATAACAGCATAGTGCCGATAACATGATTGTTATGTCCATGGTACTGTTCATGTCTATAGACAACGGTTACCACTTTCCATCAGGTGGGACGTCAGCTTGTTTGCCATTTTCTAAAAATAAAAACTGCCAGTTTCACCAGATTAACTTACGAGGGATAGGCAGTAGCGTCTCTCTTAACACACCAAGGGTCGGAGTTGAGCTTTACAGAGATACGAGCGTTGAATATTGAATGTCTTTATTCACCATTTGCTTGTAATATATTAGCATTTCGTATGTTTAATTCAAACACTAAGGTACAATAATATGACGTTTGTTTGAGACAGCAAACGGCGGTACTGCTCACACATCCTCCGTAAGTTGAAGCTCGAGAGCGCGCGCGGCCTGCACATGTAAATATAACCGAGCTCTGTGAGAGCGCGTCCCTCATAGATCTAGTCTCCGCGCCGCAGACGGTCGTGTTTCACTTGCTGTTGATGTATGTTACAGTCTAAATTCAGTTGTCAATCCGCCTGCCAAGCGTGGCAACTACGGGCAGTGCCCTTCAATAGGAGAAGGCCTATATTCATTAGTGGATAGTCAATTAATTAGTGGATAGGTGATTGATCGCCAGCGTATCCCCAACGGGATACGCTGGTGGAGCACCAGTGAAGGGTGATAGATGAGAATGAAAACAGACCAGTTAGCCCATCATGATGAATTCATCAGGAATTAATCATGATAGTTTCCAGGGGGAACCGCGAGGAGGTCTAGTCCTGGTTGGGTATATTGGTAGCAATAGGATTCTCAGTCTCCATCACTAACAATCCCTTTCCCCCCACATTTAAATATTTGAATGCGACTTCTAGCTTAAATGTAATCTGGTGCAATATATTTAATTGCATATACAATAAAATACTGACATTTCACTGTGGTAAAGTAGACTAAGGAAGTATTTAGCGAGTCATTGTTTGTTTTTTATTATCTGCTTAAATATTTGAATATCATAAGATAATTTGTAACTAAAATTAAAGAAAATATAAGATTAGACTGTCTTTTTAAAGTCGTGTTGTTAACTTCTGAAACTACTGTATCATTAAAAAAAAAGATTGTCCCATAAAAAAATCGTCTTTAATTGCGACAAAACTAGTTATTTTGATCTATAAATTACTGAACCGATTTTGATTAAATTTCTATGGGACTAATCTGTTAGTATTTTTTTCCGATCGGATAAAACTTGACTGACGGAGTTATGAGGTAACAAATATAAAAAAAAAAATACAATTTACAAACTAATTGAAAACCTTTTTGAAATTGGTTGAAGTAAATAATTTGAAAGTGCTACAATTATAACAATCACTTGATCTTCAGACTAGGATACTCTATACCAGAGGTGACCTAGAAAAAACTAGTCATATAACCAGAGGGAGACTTTGTACAAAAGTCGTTCGCTTGGCCACCTCTGTCCCATTCGTGTTACAACCGTGAAGCAAGGCTGTGTTTCGATTTGAAAGGTGGGATATCGCAATGACTACAGGGTACAGAGGAATAACATCTGAGTCCTCAGGATTGGCAACGCATGGGGGGTATCGTGGGCGAAACAGTATACTCTGTTATGTCCATGGCACTGCCCATGTCTATAGGCGACGGTTACCACTTTCCATCGGTGGGCCGTCCGCTTGTTGGCCATGCTAAGTTGTATAAAAAAAAACTGGTCATATAACCAGAGGGAGACTTTGTACAAAAGTCGTTCGCTTGGCCACCTCTGTCCCATTCGTGTTTCAACCATGAAGCAGTTGTATTTGCATGGCTGTGTTTCGATTTGAAAGGTGGGATATGGCAGTGAATTTACAGGGTACAGAGGAATAACACCTGAGTCCTCAAAAATGGTATTGCATGGGGGGTATCATGGGCGAAACAGTATACTCTGTTATGTCCATGGTACTGCTCATGTCTATAGGTGACGGTTACCACTTCCCATCAGGTGAGCTGTCAACTTGTTTGCCATTCTAAGTCGCATAATAAAAATATAAATACATAGAACAAACTGCGTAACGTAATCATCAACTGCTGCACGCATCATCTTGTTTTATTTTTCAATCACCGTCCCGTCACGTTATTTATCTTCTACGCAGTATGGCTTTCCTTTGTTTTCGGCACGCGATAAACAATGTTGTTATTTCATTTGAGATTTCAAAAAGTTTGTAAACGGTAGATCGCACAAGGTTTTGTCAGTAAACAGTAGATCTTGGGTCTAGTCAAGTCGGCCACCCCTGCTTTATACCATTACCACATCCATGAATATAGGCCTCCCTCTGTTGAGGGGTTTTGCCGTATCGTAAGTTGGGCTTGGAGATGTTTAAAGGGGTACTGCTGCGAATCCCTTGGTCATTAAATTCCCTTAGTCGCCTCTTACGACATCCATGCGAAAGGAAGGCGTGGCCTATTATATGCCAGGATTACACGACAACACTATTCGATGTTTATATTGTTTGTTTTTTTTTAATTTTTTTTTATACTTCGTTTATTTTTGTTACCATATTTGGTACTTGTATGCTTTATTATTTCAGCTCTGTTGTTATGGTGTTCGTGACGTCACTATGGGAATTACCAGAAAATCAGGGCTACCAACAGTGGGTAATGTGCCCGTTGTTGGTGGTTTAATGCTGATATAAGCTTTTTTTTTTCTTTTTACTACTTTCCTCCATGCAAAGATTGCCTGGAAGAGATCGCTCTTAGTGATAAGGCCGCCCGTCGTTTTCTCAGTGTAATAATTTCTTGTAATTGTTTGTATTTATAATAAGTTTATTGTTGTAATCTTATGGAGGAAACAATAAAGAGTATTTACCTATCTATATAACTTAGGTGTTTATTTTTTCTTTTTTGTAATTATGGTTATGTACTGGGTTGGTCGCCTGGTAGCGACTGCTTTTAACATAATAGTTGTCGTGATGAATTATTTATACTGTATGTTTAATTAATTAATGAAATATATTATTTATGCATCATTTATGTAAATATGTATCTATGTAATACAATTTTATCTTTGGCTGTTAAATTGGTTACACAGGTTACACTCTGGGTTTTTTGTACGCGTCCGTGTAGCCTAACTTCAGGCTGCAGCTGAAAATCAGTGCTTTGCTTTTAAGCAAAACTATCACTGAACTGTGGCCTATTTAGGTCACTGCGACACACTTGGTGAAAACATATTTCCATACTTTATCTATTGTTTTATATTTAAAAAAGTGTAAATAATCTGATTGTATAAACTCATTTGTTAATTTACGTGTGTCATAAATGGCTCAAATAAAGTGTTTATCTATCTATCTATCTATCTATCTACTTACTATTTGTGAAATTGTTTTATGGTAAATAAATATTTTCTATTCTATGCTAAATCTATATAGATCTGAATCCTAGTGAGCGATAGGTATAACAGATAATTATGTATGCATGTACATAGGTTTAGGTCTATGCAGGAAGCCTATGTTCAGCAGTGGACAGGTAATGACTGATATGATGGTGGTGATGACGTAGATTTGAATCATCCATCACCGTAAACTAAAATTTCATCCCAACCATCTGAACGAGTGGCGGTCCTCCACCGTGCGTTTTTCAAGGTACTTTCTTTCACGCACAACCACTCTTTGGAATCAACTTCCAGCAACAGTATTTCCGAAACGATGCGACAACATAACCTTCAAGAAAAGAGTATATTCCTTTTTAAAAGGCCGGCAGCACACCTGCAATGCCGCTGGTGTTGTAGGTGATCATGGGCGGCGGTAGTCACTTACCATCAGGTGAGTCGCATGCTCGTTTGCCTCCTATGTTGTAAAACAAATCCAATATTGAGTTTTAAACATAATTTTCTTTACATCAAATATACAAACGTAATGTAAATCTCTCTGATGTGGGTATGTGCGTCACTTCGCCCGCAGTCTTTTTACACAGCAGGCAAAACTTTATAATATCATAACCTCTAAAGGATAATATCATGAATCAACAAAATGCATTAAAATTTTATTGTACACGTTACTGCTAACTAGGGGTCATTTGATACGTCGCTAGGTAGCAACCGTGCTAGGTCAAATATCTACGTGTTGGGGGGAAATGGGTTGTTAGCAATGGAGTTTGAGAGCCCCATTGCTAGCAATATGCACTATCAGGTCGACCTCCACGTGGTTCCCCCTGGAAACCATCGTGAACAATTCTTGTTGAATTCTAGTCACGATGGGCTAACTGGCCTGCTTCATTCTCATCTATCATATTTCACTGATGCCTCGCCGGTGTATACCGATAGCGCAGGTGGGGTTACCATTCCATTATCGCCGTTAAAAAAAAATATCTACAGCGACATCTGTGACTCTGAAAGGCGCGAACTTAAAATTGACTAATTTTTAATCAATTTTAAGTTCGTGACTTTAAAATAATAATTACAAAAGGTTGCCTACAAGAGATAGTAACAAGGCATTTTCAACATTGTTTTGTAATGTAATCTTTTCTTGTAATTGTTTGTATTTATGCTGTTTAAGTGAACAAGGTTGATAATTAATATGCTTGATATTGTAGTTCTCTTTATCTCGTTTTCATCAGTCGGAAAACATAAAGACTTTGTATGACAGAATTGTAAAACATAACACAATAGAAATCAGTAGAAAAATATAAAAGGCGTATTATGATGGCCAGTGATACGCCACAATGTCTTTAAAAAAAAAACAATAAAGAGTATCTATCCTCTTATTTTAAATGTACAGTTCCAAAGAATGATAATTAGCAATCGCTACCTATAGTTATTTTTTATTTTAATTGTAATAGCAAACAAGTTGACGGTCCTTTGTATGGAAAATGGAAACGGTTGCCTATAAGCATGAATACTTTGCATGGCTGTGTTTCGGTTTGAAGGGTGAGATATGGCAGTGCATTTACAGGGTACAGAGAAATAACACCTGAGACCTCAGGAATGGCAACGCATGGGAAGTATCATGGGCGAAACAGTATACTCTGTTATGTCCATGGTACTGTTCATGTCTATAGGCGACGATTACCACTTACCTTTACTTAGGTCAACTTGTTTGCCACTCTAAGTTGCATAAAAAAGTTAAAAAAAAACATATTTTTTTAAATAAAACATAACCCTTTTTTTTCTGGTATTTCAAGTAATTAGATTAAAAATGTTCTAAATTAATTCTTTTTTTTTTATATTTTAAGCAATTTAGAATGGCAACATTCTTAGTTGCATAAAAAGAACCTTTCAAATACGGAAACTACCAATTAAACTGCTTAGCGCCGGACACTGGCGAAATGTTGATGTTTTAAAATTTAAAAAAAAAATATGTTCAATGATGTTACCTCGGTAGTTCAACGACACGGCATGCTTATTTAATAAAGATACGTGCACAGTATTTTCGATGTAGGTATAGAAACAAGGGATTAACTTGTTTTTGGGGAACTGGGTAAGACCTAGAAAAATATTTTTTTCTCTCTCACTGCACTGGTTTT